GTGTTCGTCCGCCGGCAACGCGATATCACGTGATCAACACGACTTCCGGCGGAAGGAGATGCGAGATGCGAGATGCCAGCAAGCCTCGAGACAGCGCAGGCACAGCGGCCGGGGGGAGGGACGGACGGAGAGGCCGCTGGACGGAGGGGCCAGGCAGCAGAGCGCGGGCGAATTACCCTGGATCCCTGGCTCGTGAGACAGGCAGCAGGGGCAGAGGCAACGAGCCCCCAACGCCCGAGTCAGGCAGATGATACGCCGATTCTGTGGCCTGCCATCGTCGCCCGGCCGGAGCAAAACAGCCGTTCTAGAAAGGTTCGATGTGGAAAGAAAAGCTGCTGGCCAGTTTGCATGCGTCCGTGGCTACGGATTGGCCGGGTGAGATCGTGCGGTTGCCATGCCGCAGTGAGGACTGTCGTGGCCAGCTCTACCCCCTTCTCCTCCTCCTTCTTTTTCTTCTTCGTCTCCCTTGCTAGTTACCACTGGTTACTATACTCTGCTCCGCCAAAATATCTTCCGCTTTGCCCCGTTCACGCTAATATTGGAGCTCTAGGCCGTTGACTACTGATTGCTCTCCAGGCAGTTCTAGGCAGAAAGTTGACTGGCTGCCTGAATGATGGAGAATTTAAAAAGCTTTGACCGGTTCATAGAAATGGAAGATTAACTATCGTTGTATCCTACCCCGGATATTAACACGTTTAATATACCAAACAAGAGAGTGTCCATACATGTCGTATGGGCAGCGGCCCTCTTCCCTCCCCATGATGGATGGGTATATTTTTATCCTCAGCCAACAGGTTATTGCTGTCCAATCTGCCCTTTCGCCGTTCCTGCAGAGTGAAAATTGAAGTAGCCAGTGTTTATTTTAATTTTCATTCTTTTTTCTATTGCTTTTTCATTTGCATTTCCAACGGCGCAATGGGCCGTTTCCCGTTGGGTGCCTCCTCTTGAAGAAATACTTCAGTGATTGCAGTGAGGCCATGATCATCTGCCAACATAATTGGTATTTGGCGACTTCTCACAATTCAGTTCCATCTGGGGGCCGTCACCATCAACCTCTTGGGCAACTCCCCTAGCTATCGTCAGTCCGATTTGCGCAGGTGGTTTTTCTAGTATGTCTCACTTTGGACATGGCAGTTCTCGAGAGAGGTGAAAAAAACATTGAAGCAAAACAACTAGGCTGTTTGCCTAAAGATGTTGGCATGCATACATATGGTGGTACTATTTTTATCATGTATAAGCCCCGTTATCCGCCGTCTGATGAGAGAACCCACCTCTTAGGCAACCACATCAGCCTGCTACATGGCCGGGAAGCCGCATTTTCTCTCCGAAAATTCGAACTCCACATCTCCTTGCTTACACAGTCGAGCTTGGACGTTTCGGCTGCTGAGGCTCATATCTCAGAACTGAGAGGCCGCCAGTGAGCGAAATAAACATGCAGTGCGACTCGATCTGCTTTCCCCTCTGCCATTCCCATCTCAAACCGAGATGCCATGATAAGCCGCAGCCCGACAGGCCATGACGGCGGAGCAAGTTTACCTCCCTGCTCTTGTTCCCTTCGCTTGGCCTGAAGCTTGACCACACAGTACAAGTACCTGCAAGATAATGTAACAGCAAACCATTAGGTCGGTTTCTGTATATTTATCTTCAATTCCTTGAGAGATGAACCGTTGATTTCGGGAAAGGCTGAACGTGTAGTGCTGTCGTTCGAGGGAAGGGAGAAAAAAAAAGAGATTAACCGGGCGGTGCTCGACGAGCCTCAACTCCCTACTAATTATAGGTACTAGACAACCCTGAATACATGTTCCAAAGCCCATCTCGAATTTTGTCTCGAGAAAGTTAAGCTCCGTAACGACATGGCAAAGGCATGGCTGATGCATTATCCTCCTGCGAAAATGTGTTCTATATCTACTTGTCTGGGCTAGAAATATTGCTAATCCAAGATCTTGTGATATGCATCCCGGAAAAGGGTGATAACACTCTCAGACACCCTCTATGCAGATCAACCTCAAAGTCTATGCTACCTAGAGATGTAGCTGCGCCTGGTTTCTCGTTCGCTTCTTTCTTCTGCTCTGATGATCAATATCGCTCATGAGGAAGGGCTTTAGGGCAGTTCTAATGCAAGAATGGTCGACGGGACAGACAGAGTTGACTGGGGTTGGAAATATTGGGTGCCGAGTCGCTCTATCCAGTCTCCATTCTGGGGACGCTAATGTGCTGATGTGATAATAGGAGCGACGACCGCGACGGCCCTGCAGGGCCTGAATTCCGTATTTGAATTCCCTCGGCGCCATGGATACATGCGATTGACCATGAAACCCCAGGAAGTGGCGGGGGTTGTACAACAGGCTTCCTCAGAACATGCGGACAGTCCGACAGACTGGCCGACAACAACAATGGCCCAAAGAACGCGAGCCGATAAACCTACTAGAGCTCGGTTAAGGAGTCCAAGTCGGGGGCCCTCTCATGCTCCTCTGTTTGTTTGCATCTTGACGGACATTTGTCCTTTTTCTCTCACCCGAAGGCGTTGATCATCTCTGACCCTGCCTCTTTTCCGCCCACATTCCACAATGTCGGGTTTTTACAATAAAGAGTCTGCTACTGCTGATGTTGTGAGAGAGTTTAGGGTCCGTTTCCATTGCCTCGGGGACAGGTTGCTGCAAGAGAAACCAAATGTGATCCAGGTTTAAGGGGAGGAGCTGGATTGATATTATTGGGCCTGACTGGTCCGTATATCCCCCATCTTCAAGGCAAAGGGCAAGGAGGTGGTCGAGGGTCCAAACCCGACAGCTCGGATACGATGTTTAACATGCAGTGCAGTATTGCCTGCTTTGTCACCCTTAACGGAGAGCAGAACGAACGGGCAGGCCGATATCCTAGAATTTGAGCGGCCTCTTGACACTTTCTGACCCCCCAAACTTAAGCTGCCAGCATGCAGGTTGACGCCTGGACGGTGTTATCTATCTTTTCTCGACCCTTTAGCTCCAGCTGGTCCACCACTGGCCGTCGTTTTACAAATGAACCGAAAGTTAAAGAGAAAGAAGAAAGGGGGGCTTTCATCGGAACACATATTCTCTGGTTCCCTGGCTCTGAGGCGGAGTCTTCGAATCCGTCCCAGAGCAACAAAGAAGGTGATCTCAAAAGAAAAAAAGACATGGCATGCAACTTAGTCGGTTCTTAGACCCCCGCCAAGTGAGATATTTATCACCTAATAATTGAGCTAGTGAACCTGCATCCCTGGCCTTTCCCCCGGAGATAATGAGTAGCAGGCAGCGTCGTGGCCGTTTTTGGTGCCGGGCAGGCGTGTGATGCATGTGTCACTCCTCAACTCCAGCAAGAAGGCCACGAGCAGCTCCTTACACTATCATTAATAATGTAAATGAGCCTAAGGCTCATACATTAGTCCGGATCCTTGGGCACCAGCTTCGTGTAAGTACGTCTGATCGGTATACTGCTCCATCCTCTCCCATTATCCTCTATACGACTGGAGTAACTTGTACATACGTCAGATCCCAGATCTATGGCTGTATTTCCTTATATTATCCCTGCGTCCAGACACAGTGTGCTCAGTCAGCTCCCTGCAGTATCATGCTGGCCTCCAACGTGTTGACAACTGAATAACCCTAGCCTGTGGATTGATGTGACGCAGGCTTGATTCTCAGCCCCATCTGCACTTCGAGAACTGGGCGGCTAGCTGACTCAAATCACACCGAACCCCCCTTACACGGTGAACCATCTGTGCTAGGTATGCTTCTAGGGTTTCGGTACCAGAAGGTACGAGGGCGATCGACTCTCCATCTCCACGAACGAACGAGCTAGTTAGCTAAGTTAGTTAAAATGCTTGACTTTCAAATCCCGCTCGCCGCGAAGCATTTCTCCAGCTCTTTTGGAAAGCCATACAAAAGAAAAGTATCTATTTACGGGCTTCTTCGTGGGAAGATACATTGCTGCCACCGCATTGTTGGCCTTATATGGCTCTCTGCTCGGGAAGTGGTCAATTCGGTCTTCTGGTAAAGCATACTCAGGGGGCTGTTGCTATCCCCGATGGCGGGAGGTATTAACTAGTTGGTCCTCTTCGCTTCCTTCTATTCCCTCGACACTCGCTTGATCAACTGGTTAGTTAGCTAGTCAGGCCAGTCAGTAATAATAACCCCCCCCTACGACGGATTTGAACATGCATCTGTCACCTCATGCATGTGCATGCATGCATGTTGCGTTGCGTAGGGCCAGGATATAGTGAAATACTCTCCACAGATTGGCTGGCAACAAGCACTCAGCACGCGTACCGGGAAATTAAAATATATGGGAGTCGACTAACTAACTAGTTCATTCCCATAGCACCATCCATGGCTCTGGGAATCATCTTGTGGGCGGGCTTTTTTGGTCCGACCTATTCTTTCTTTGGAAGGTGTATGACTAGTCGCAAGATATCAGCCTTCTTGCAGTAAGGAGTACCATCCCTGGTCCACAGATCATCAGGAACCGCATGGCTAGCCGTTACAAGAGAAGTACAATCCACTAAGCCATGCGAAGGCTTGCTTTGGCCTCTTTCTCTCTTTTCAATACTCGCGGAAGGCCTTGTTTCCGGTAGAGTCAATCCTGTATCTGTATACAGTTTATATCTGGCAGTTATGCTATTTCGCTCCTCAATTCAATTTATGCAGACCCAGTCCGAATTATCCGGCTTGTATAACTACAGGACAAGGCTGTAACCTGAAGTGTGGATGTGCTTATAGTAGCAGGATTTCGAGGAGTCTATAAAGGATGGAAGAATGATCCGCGCACCTGCGGGTAAAATTCTTGAAACGAGGTTAATATAATATCAAATTGAACAGCACGTCTTTTATATTAACTAAGTAAACAAAATTTCTCCTCCATGGAAAACTCAACAGAGCGAGAAACACGATGGGGAAAAAAAAATATGCAAGATACATGGTGGGAGTCTATATATATTGTTTTTTGAAGGGAACAGGATGGAATGAGCAGGAGTGTACAGCAACCTATGATCATTAAGCTCGTCAACGTAAGGTAAATGGAGAAATAAGGAGGAAAAGGACTAAAGTTCATTGAAGGGTATATTTAAAGAGAATATGCAGTGTATCCAGCCACCAGTAGGGCTATCCTGAAAAAAATATACATAGTAAAAGGGAGAAAATGGCGAAGGGAAAGCATCGCAGTGGAACTTCACATCACAGGGCCGCTCTTAATCTCTCGAGGAGTCCATACGTCTCTTTCAACATTCAGAAGTGAAGAGACGGCACATTTTCGCAGAGCGCTTTGAGTAAATTGCTGAACACCTGGTTCTGTAACTCGATGTTGTGGAGGTTCGTCGGCTGCACGACGGAGATCACTTGTGCATTGCCCTGCTAGCGGGTGAGACCCACGCCGATAAACATCTCTAAGGAGTTCCCTTGAGGGAATTAAGGGGCCCGGACCAGGTCCCGGGCTAGGGCTAGGTGTGGGTAAGGGGATCGATCGGATTGGTGGTAAAGTTATATCATGAGATAAATCAGATATATTAGGCTGCGGTAGTGTGGCTTGGGAAGGATGATTTACAGCAGCGTGAGTAGAAAGGGGCGGGAATGAGTATCTGTGGGTGTACGGTATATTCGACGGCCTGGAAGCGTTGATATTGACATGGAATCGATGGTTTGGTGGGGACGGGTTCCTGTCGTGTGCTGTGCTAGCATGGGCCATGGGTTGTTTGTTGGGGTCTGGACCAGTTGATGATAGCTCCAGCGGATACGAAAGCGACGGCAATCGCTGTTGAGAAAAAGCCGGGGAAGAAGAGGGTGGGAAGTAGCTGGGAACTGGTTCGTAGCGTGGAGACGGAGTCCTTGTGTGTGAAGGGGTAGAGTAATTGCGCCTCGCATCCTCAATGGGGTATTGTGTTGATTCCAGGCTGAGTGAGGAAGATCGTGACTTTGCACTTCGCCTCCGGAGGTTGCCTGATGACATTTGGTGAAAGTGCAAGCGACAAGCCAGCTCGGTCTTGCACAAATGAGCTGCAATACGTTTGTATGGGGTTTTCATCATACGGGCACGGTAGAGGTAGGTATCCTGATCATGAATATTAACATATGTTCAAACCACCGGCCTATTGCTTTCATCCAGTCATACCTCTTCCTCAGTCCATGCGCGTCCACCGCAAGAAGGCAATGATTTGCTCTGCTTTTCAATTCCACACCTCATTGCTCTAAGGCACGGAGGTTTATATTCAGTCAGAAAAGATGGTGGTGACGGTGGTCCATCAATATAGGTCTGTCGGTCCATCTTCTGCGACTCCTGAATGGGTATAATACGATTGATTAGACTGGTATATCTCGCTGAATAATTATGACAACCGGTGCAATACTGCCGAGAGAGCTAGCCAATATGTTTTTTGAATTTGCGAAAAATCGTGGTTCATAAAGCTGTTCTTCAGGGATCAGAAAGTGACATCCGGGCGGAAGCCAAGTTGGGGTTTGTATATCTAACCGTGGATAAAACACACTACCTCGTAGTGTGCAGGGAGAGGAAAAAAAAGGTTATAGTGAGAGATATCTCTCTTCTATCTCCACAAAGAAAGATATGAGAAGGATGGTGAAAAGCGGCCGGATGAAGGCCTTTATTTATCAATTAATGAAGTGAAGGGGGCAGAGTAAGCAAATATCCTCTCGAGATAGGGAAGATAGCAGGCTGGATTTCCCCTCTGAGCCACACAACAGTGAACGAAAGACTGGGGAGTGACCTAGCGGTTGAGGACTCGGCTATGGGCAGCGGTTTTATTATAGATTGTTTGCGGTGAATGGGTAGGAAACAGGTTGGGGCTCCAGTCCTTGACTGTTGTAAACAGCGTAAGTTGTTGTAAATGAAAAATGCTGCAGGTCTGGGGATGAAATATGATATTAGATGGTAGATGACATAGCAGCTTCCTCCAAATATGTCTTGCATGACTTGCAGGCCTTGCCTTAGCATACCGTGCCTTGCCACGGCGGAGAAGGCATGGTTATGTAACAGGTTTGTAGCACACTGCGGAGTAGGGAGGAGTACGTTTGGGCACGATCTCATTTCACTTTCCATCCCTCATCCTGATAGTTATTATATCATGACAAAGGCATGCACACCATGACATATGTATGGAGGAGAAGTAAATGCTGCTTTTACACGCAGCATCTATCTGCCGTGAGGTACAGAGTAAGTGTAGGCACTCCTTTTCCCACTTCCTCCGCCTGTTCAAGAAATCCGCCCAGCAGGCCCGTAAGAACGGTTGTGATAGCTCTGCGGCCCCCTTCCCCCCTCCAACGGCTAACATGGAAAGGAAGAGCCAGGGTTATAGAATGGAGGGAGAGAAGAAAACATTAGAGAAAAAAAAAAAAAAATAGACGGAGAGAAAAGCAAAAAAATACCCAAAAAGGTATTTTTGGCAACTGATCTACGCCCGTTTCATGATTTGCCATGGGTTTATGTCGCTGCATTGCCACGGGTACAGATCAGATGGCGGCGTGGTGGTGCTTCAGGATTAGAACCAACAGGTGCAGGGAGCTAGCATGAACCACTTGACGCCGTGGATATGTCGGTTAAGAGAGCAGCAGGGCTGAGCAAGCACTGTACAGCAGTTAGAGATATGCATGTTCGATGTGCCAAGTTGGACAAAAAGAGTGGATAGTTTCAGCCAGATTGACGTAATAATAACAGTTCGCTTGGCGGAAACCGATGAAGCTTGAGCGGCGGAGGTTTTTTCTTATTATTTTTTTTTTATTTTATTATTCCTTTTCTTTTCTTTTCTGGAAACTGCAGGTTTGATGGGAAGGCTAGAGATTTAGTCCGGTTGAGCTCTTATATGTTGCTTGCATACTCCATATGTATATTTGAGACAGTAAATCTTTTTTCAGTAAGAGAGCGGTCTGCAGGTATTCAGAGCGGTTAATTAGTCTGCTCCGGTGTTAGTAATATCGATCTTATAATACCATCACTTCCAATCTCAGGAGCACGGTGCTGTTTATCAGCGGCAGACCGATACGTACTCCATTCCTCGCCCCCTCTCTCTCCTCCTATCGAATTAAAGGAAAGAGGAAACAGGGCCAAACGGTTGCAGAAGAGCCAGTTGAAACAGGTCTTGGCCAACTCAACAGGCTGACTGCATGGGGCGAACCGCTTCATCTGCTTCATCTGCTGCGTCTGCTGCTTCTGACACTGTGATGTTGTCTATATGAAACGACGCGAGAACTCCAAAAATAGAAGAAAAGCGCAGGCAAAGCTGAGTCAGCGGATCACGGGACATCTGAAGCAAACAAACCCAAAAAAAAGTGCGGATGAGTCATCATATGGTCAAAGCTTCAAGGGGCTCTTTGATTACATAATATGTTTAATCATCTTTCTTGGCATCATGGGCTTGGCATTTTATCCCTCAGGGGTTGCCGAAGCGCGATGGAGAACGTAGAACGAGTATATTTCGGCAGCAAGATGAGAGAAACATTCAATTCGAAACCCGGAGTTCGGCTCCTCGGATCCCCTGGGTTCGTTTTTTGTCAAGCGGAGTTTGCTTTCGGTCCCCGTGTCACAGCGCAGCACGGTTGCGAGACTCCCAGCCGTCATGGCCATAAGAACTACATATCACACCCTGATTGTATACGGCGTAGTCCTGTCTACAAATAAATCCTGGGGAAGAAGATAAATGAGATCAAGGGTAGATATATGCAATGTGGTTTGCAATGACAGTGCCGACTTGCATTTCCTTATACCCGTAGGGCTCGCGGGTACTGCTGGTGATGCGGAAGCTTACGAGGCCAAATGGATATAATCGGGTTTGATGATGGAACCGTCTCAACTCCTGTTGGTGATCCAAGGACGCAGATAGTTCGCTGCATTGACCAAGCGGCACGGTAGGTGCGGCCTCACTAGCTATAGTGTCTTGAAAGGTTGTTCTCTCTTAATCAAGTGGCGGTAGTCCAGTCTCCCGTTGTGTTTCTTCCCCCCTTTTTTTTGCATGCCATGCAGTCATAAAGAGCCGTTCTTGTTTCATCGTGTGGAATCCATTACGGAAGATATCCACTGTAAGATAACAAGCGGCCGCTTATTGATGCCAACCGATTGCCCAACTAGTGCTGTGAGGAAGAGCCATGGAGAGGATTCGCTATACGTGGCTGGTAATGTCACATCTGACAGCCGCCTTTGAGAAGCCATAATCTCCGCGGCATTACCGCCAATTCTATAGCCCGTTAGCTCATTCAGCTTGCATACAAGACATTTGACTAACCCAGGGAGCTTGCATGCATAGACAGTAGAGGCTTGCCACTGGACACCAAAATAGAGCTGTAAGTAAGCGGGAGTAGTAGCGGCGCCAACTATTCCGAGTATCAAGTGTATCCCCGTTTCCATTTATGGCGAGTGAACACTGAATAGGCTTGTAGTGAGAATGAAACGAGAAAGAAGCCATGTAGATTGAACAAGTAAGTGTCGTGGTGCTACAAAAACAAGCGTTGCGTGTTTGTTGCACTACTTGGCAGGTTGGACGTAGTTTCAAAGGAACAAGCCGTCAACCCTCCTTGTGGGCGAGAGTAGCATCGTGTGAGCACTCTCTAGGGAGTGTTCCGTGTATAGCTGCGATCCTCGAGTTACTTTCTGTCTGGTGTATCAAAGTGACGGGAAGGAAGCTGAGTGCCGTGGGGATAAAAAAGGGTCCAGATATATTGGACAAACGCCTTTCCGAGGTCCTAGTTCCTGGGCTGGTCTGATCCGGCCAAACAGTGCTCGACACTCGATCGACCTCGGGGGTCTCGTTGGCCCGGGGGAGAAGTCAGTCAAAGACTCCTTCAGACGAGGGGAAGCTCTTGGTGGAAACGAGGCCAAGGAGGTATGCGAAGTCCCGGCCGATGAAGTCCTACAACGCGGTGAAGTCTGACTATGATCTGCAAAAAGATGCAAGGAGGGATGCTGACTATCTGTGCCAGGTTGACAGACGTCAGGTAGACAGACATGAAAAGGAAGAAAAGACGGCCCATCCTCGCGCGTATGTACACAGTACACAGCGCAGCAGCCGCCCGGAGAGGGCGGTTGAAGGCCAAAATACAGCAATCAAGGGAAGCCAATACTGACGAATGGAACGAACGGGAAAAGCATTAAGGCATTCTAAAGAGAAGGCGTTTCTTCTATCACTTTACAAGCTGAGGGCAGCCTCGATCTCGAGACAAGCAGCTTTTACACCCTTTCTTGCTTTTGCAATCGAATTTATTGGACAGTTTCATGCCAGCCAGCAAGCGTATATAATTGACGGGATATAAAATAGACGTCCGGGAAAGATCGTCCTATGAGCGGATGGCCAATCCGACAGAGAGGATGGGATGTCTACCTGGAGGGACACGGAGAGCAACCACGTCTTACGATATGCGCTTTTGCGGAGGGTATATCGACGGGCTTTCCCATGTGTACCCGCGGACAAAGCCGAAGACGAAGCTCCCGAGCGAAAAGCAAAGGGAGGCAGAGTGCATCAGCAAGCGAGTTGTAAATGGCACGGCATGATCGGAAATTATTTACCACAAAAGAAGTGAGGCTGTCGATGACGCTGGACGGGGAGCCGTGGTTATCAAACGTCAACGGAAGACTAGAGGTCAGCAAAGCGGAACAAGAATATACACACACCTAGGGGAAACAGAGAGAGCGGAGAGGAAAAGAGCAGACTGTTTTGGCCGGCTGCATCGTATCCCAGACCAGATTCAAAGGGAACGAAACACTTTAGGCGGCAGCTCCCCCCCTTAGAGACATAGCTTCTCTCGTTAACTAGCGCGCTGAAGCCAGTTACCGGGAGGCCCTCGAACGATTTGTGCGCATCCAGAAACTGGGGTAACTAATGTTAATCCAAGGTGTACAGGAGGGCTTCCCGCTCCCAGAGTGACTTTGGGCCCAGGTACCTGCTCGTCCCTCCCAGAAATGCCTGTGCTCTGCCGTGTTGCGCGAGAGGGAGGCTGTCGATTCCAAAAGCTGGGCTGGCAGAGATGTCCAACCGAGCAGCGGCAGTTCAGTCTCTGTATGTGTACTCCGTCCTGCCTTCGATCGAGCGAACAGGAAGCGCGAAAACAGGCAAGCTGGAGGACAACGGGGCCCGTCAGGGGGTGAAATCCCTGGCGGAGCACGAGCGCAGCAAACAGGTGTACTTTGCGGAGATGTAACTGCTGGTCTTTAAACAACAACGGGCACTGTACGGAGAGTGCGCTGGAGCCAGCCAGGTACCTTGCCTGGACTACTTTGAAATGCACATCAGATCACTACGTAACTACTCTTGGTTACGGAGTACTACGGAGCCTACGGGGGGGGGGGGGGCAGGAAGTAGCTCCAGGTAGAAGCACATCAGCTTCCCCAGCGGCCCGTCGATGACGTCCCAGGGAAACATCTCCAGTCGCCTCTTGACGGCGGCGAGCCCTCCCGGCCAGCATCGACACTGCTCTGTCCGCATCTCTGCCGGCCTCGCGCTCTCTTGCCAGCCCGTCCCCCTCGCGCCGCGGTGGATGGTCGATGCTCGATACTCGGGGCGCTTTGTTTATGCCTAGTATTGGGACGGTATTACCGGGGGCGAGGCTATGTCCAGCGACTTCTCGCCACATACAAATTCTGCGGGCGAGCGAAGTCACTCTACATCATCCGACCATCCCCCGCACATCAACAAGCCCAAGGAAGGGCCAAACCTTGGAACATTTCCTGTCTTCGCTTCCTCTCATCTCGCATCTTGCATCCTCACTTCGCTCGTGGGTCATCGTCGGCATCTTCTTCGCAAAGGGGGTGACGAGAAAGGAAAAAAGGTCAGATCACCAGACGGACGCAAAAAAGCAGAACAACATCAGACGAAAAGGGACGGGACACGGACGAAGCGGCAGAGAGACAAGAGAAGACCAAGATCGAGTTTCTTCTCCCCTACCCAGCGCGTGCTCGAACCCGGCTCTGCCTGTTTAAAGTGAAGGGAGTATATGTACCTCCAGCTACAGTATGTCTATCCTCCTTTTTCCTGCCTGCTCGCTCTGCACCGCCAGCTTCAGCTCCATCCTCAGCTTCGTCCTCTTTTGCTCTGGCTACTTCTCTGTTGGCTCAGGGCGTCCTTTTGCTCTCTGATCTATCTCGCTCCCTCCCTCTGTCTGTCTGTGGCTCTATCTCTATCTCATCCTTCGCTTGGCCTTTCCCCCCCCCCCCCGGTCACTGCCTCACACGCCCGGTACGCTGCCTGCTTCGTACATCATCCACCTGTCAACGGGTATTCCGCAAGTCACCGGCTGCTGCTCCCTCCCTCACACCCCCCCATTCGTTGCGATCAGGCCCAACGCTTCCTTTTCCCTTGCTCTTCCGTGTAACCTCCTTGTCCACTGTCCGCCGTGTTAGAGAGTGTGTGGGAGAAGGACAGAAACAGAGGGCAGAGAAACAGAGCAAAAAAGAGAGAGAGACAGAGATACACTCAAGCAAGGACAGCTTTCTCGGCAAACTCACTCCCCCAAGGACGGAGTACATGCTATGTAGCTCAGCTATCTGAATCAGCCTGGCTAACTCTCCTCGCTATCGTTCGTATCGCTACAGATGAATTGGGTCTTCCCATCCAGGTCTCCCCTTCCGGACATGAAGTGAGTTACTCGTCTCTCCTTTGTCACCTCCAGGTCCCCCATTTCAGACTCCCTATACCCCTTCATCCCTTCATCGACTTCCACCAAATCTTCTAGCTCTTCTTCTCCCTACTCGTTTCTTATTCTTGCTATTCCATTCTCTCTTTTTTTTTTTTTTTTTTTTTTTTTACACTTTTCCTCTGCATTTCTCTACTCGGTTCCTCGGGAGTTGCTCCTAGGTTCCTCGTCCTCCTTCCCGTAGCATAAAGATGCTCGATCCGCCTACATATATATCCTTCCTTTCTTGTCTTTCCTTCTCTATTCTCATCTCCCTCTTCCTATACGCGGACAACCCCAGTGATACAATTAACTTGGCCCTCCCCAGCTGACTCGTCCTTCTCTCCTTTTTCTTTCCTTTCGATCTAGTTCCCCACACCGTCTCAAGACTGGCGTAGGCCCCAACCCGCCAGCTCTTCCTCACCAGCATCAGCAGCACCAGCAGCAACAGCCGCAGCATCACCCGCCGCAGCAACACCAACAGCACCACCAGCACCAGCACCATCAGCATCCCATCCCCCTCTCTCAAACAGGTGCCCCTTCTCCATTTGCTCCTCCAAACCCCTTCGACAATCCAATGGTCCCTGCGCCTCCGGTTCCTACTACGGCTCCGGCTCCGTCACATCTTCAGACTACCCACGTCCAGCAACAGCAGCAACAGCCAGGTCAAGTGCATCCGCCTTCGTCACCCGCTAATCCAAGGAAGCGTCGAGCCTCCATCCAACAGCCGGGCTCCTTATCAAACATGAGACCTCCAATGACTGGATCTAATACTACTGATCAGGATGGCACTACGACTAGTACCGCTCCTGCACCCGCTCCAGAGGCAGGTGTGAAGAAGAAAGGCCGCACCAATACACCTTGGACCGCAGAGGAGGAGCAAAGGCTCAAAACGATGAGAGATGCTGGCAATACATGGAGCGAGATTGCTAAGGTACGCATATCAATTCATCTGACTATGCTACTCATTGCTCTCAGCCACTAACTAGAGTCAAAGACGTTCCCTACCAGAACTGAAGGTAGCGTCAAAAAGCATTGGTATAAAGACATGCACTATGCGGAATTTGCAGAAGACGAGGTAAATTTGCTCAATCGAGAATGAAAGCTCCTTCAAATACAAATCTAACACGGTGCACAGTCCATAGCTCTACGGGATGCAATCAAGGAGTATGAATCCAATAAGTGGAAGGTCATTGGACAGAAAGTTGGGAAACCAGCGAAGGTATTCATACTCTTTACAATTGTTCCCCACTCATTTTAAAACTTGATAAAAAAAAAAGTACCTAACATGCCCCATTTAGGCCTGTGAGCAATATGCCAAGGAACATTTCAAGAACCTATAAAGACTTGATGTCTAAAAGGCAACCGTCTTGGGATACCTTTCTGGTCCGTCCGCGACAAGAGTCCAACTCCTGGGATACACCAAGCACGCCCCCTCCCTAGCCCAACCCTCCCCTTTTTTGTTTCTTTTTTTATGGGCAGCCTTCCCTTTCCTTGACACCAAGAGGACTGCCTAGATCATGATGGCAAATATTGAAACTCTGCCGCCTGGATTTGAGAGTGGAACGCTCGGATATATGGCACAGTTGGGCATCTTTACCTATCCAACTCTAAAGCTTGAAAGGGATGTTATGATTGGGCCGTCCGTTTTCCTAAATTACTATCTTTACCTTGATTTCTACATCTACTTGTTCTCACCACAGGTTTCTGTCGTTACGTTCACTCTGATATTTTGAGGGAGTCTGGGTCTGGGCTTGTCTGGGCTTGGATGGGCGTTCATTTCTCTTCAATTTTCCGCTACAGCATCCGCCCTTTCCTCCTCTCGATCACACCTACGCGCGTTGCTCTCTCCACTTCTCTATATGCGGCGGTTCTGCAGAGTTTTAATACCCCCTTTGCACTGGATTTTTGTGGTATGACGGGACTCTTATCTTTCTACTTTTTTTATTCATAATTCCCTGTTTAAAATTTTTTTTTTTCCCTTACCCGCTTGGAGCGCCTTTTTGGATATATCCCACAAGCCATTGGCTGTCGGCTCACGGATCATGGACCACGAACTCATTACTCATGTGCGGCTTTCTTTCTTTTTTTTGGTCTCAAGTACTTTTGTTGTTTTGCCTGTGCCTTCCACTTGGCTGCAGCCCTTTTACTTCCATTTTTCTTTCTGTTTCTTTTTATTTTATATACTATCTTTCTCTTTTTGTTTCTCTTCTCTTTTTCTTTTTCTTTGCTGGGTACCTTATGAAGGAAGTACGGAACATGGCAGGCAGGTCAGGGAATGGAAGGCTATATGATGCAATTGACGTGATATCAATAGGGTGATGGAATTTTTGATGTTCTTGGATAGTTTATTTTTCCTGTTCTTTTTAGCTCTTCTCTCAATGCTCTTAACTATTACTGTTCCTCGTCAGTTCGTTTTTGCCCGAGGCTCCCCTAGCCTGTCTCTATTTTCCATTTACCTCTACTTAATTCGGGAAGCAAGAATAGGAGAGGAGTGTAACTATGTTAACTAAACTGAAATCTTATCTTCGCGGGTACCTGGGCGATCTACACGGCGCTACGCAGTTATGATGTCAAGTCACGTATGTGTATTTCATGTCGGATGTAGATGCAGGAACTTGGCTTACACAACACGCTGGAAACTCCACCAGGTACCGTGACCGCCAAGTACTTCCGCGCCCTCGAGCAGCTTATTTTCACTTCACTCGTCGAATGTATGCGGTTTGCCATCAACAGACAGCTCGACGGCGGGCAGCCAGACAGTGATTACAGAGCATATTCTATGCGAATAGCTCTATTGTTTGCTGTCAAGGCCCGCATCCGCAACAAAAATATGCAAAGTGCCCGTTTATCAAGTGTACGCGGGCCCGAGACGCTCGAGCTTGGGTCTACTACTTCTAAACATCCAACCTCAAGCCATGTATCGCTACATATCCAGCGGTATCTTCGATAATCCACCGTTTGACTGTCGATTTCACGAGCCTGTACCTTCGATGTAGCATTCATGGGCTCGCCTTGGGGAGGAAGGATAAGTCAACAAGGCATAATAGCCATGATACCCATCAACCCCTGCGCCTGATACAACCGCGACTCGATCTAGATGCTAGTGGCAAGGCCCCATGTATGTGGCAACGACCAAAGTAACATATTTTTACATATTATTTCCCCTATTCTCATCGAAGATCATCATTTCATATGCATGGTCGAGTTGGGAGTAAGATCTCACAAGAAAAAAAAGCCATACGCAAACCGATATGCACGCCGTGTTTCCCCGATGAAGGTTGAGTTCAAACACATCTGCGGGTGACTTCCCTGTCTACAACACATACGAACTGCAATGTAAGAACTAGCAAAATCTATTCAATGGGACAGATACCCCAGATATACCCCTGTAAAGGCAATGTCTATCTATTATCCTGTTAGGGAATGGCAAGGAATAGTATGGCTACAATCAATTCTTTCCTGGTCGTTAGCCTGTGTATGGGCAGTTACGAAAGCAGTGGAAGGAGGGCGAATAATTCCCAGCCACATTAATGTTGTATACGAAAGCCGAGAGATTGGAGATGTGACATTTCAGACAGATCAGATGGTACCGCATGAGACTAGAGCTAAAGGACGGCTAGAAGGAGACCGTCTATATGCACTGTCTGGAATTGGTAGAGCCATTGAGAAGCTCATCCAAGTCTTTTACTGCCTAGAATTAACAGCATGGGTGTGGACGTGTTGACGAATCTTTGACTTTACTCACTACAAGGAAGGTGCGCGTGATCGGGTTTCTGTACAAGGTGTGGGAGATTGTATGCACGTCATATTGGGTTACCCGCTGGTAGAGGTAATACGACCCAATTCTTGATGGAATTGGCCGACATGGATCAGTTTTTTGTTTTTGGTTTCGCGGCTTAATCCTACCCTCTGATATTCAAGGCTCAATGGCAGCGGAATTTGAATGGGCTCAATTGCGATTTTACGATATTTGTCTTACGGATTGAAGTTGCGGTCCGGGTGCCGTGCCGTGCCGGTTCCATTGCCGATTCGACTCGTGCTGCATCGGTGTATTCTCAGGAGCATAGCCATATTTTGCCTTTTTTTTTTTTTTTTACATTCACCATTTACACTTTTTCTTTTGCCCGTTGTTCTTCGTTGCCTCGAGGTTGTGACACGTACTAGGCAATGACGAGCTGAAGGTCATATTGTTTGTATGACTATACATGGGGGTGGTCGACCAGATAGGTCTCTCAGCTACTCGCATTTACCCCCCACTCACAGGTCTAGAGACCCTGCTATGCTGAACTTGAGTTGAGGGTATCCATATTCAATTCAGCCATTTGTCGGACATGGACTTCCACTCGGCCAATTGTATCGGGCCACGGTTGGTTACCACAGCCCCTTAATGCTGAACATGAGATGGACTGCCCCAACGAGGAAGGAACTTGCTCTTTACCCTTTTGTTATTCGTACATTCTATGATATACCATTACCTCAGCGTGATTATGGTGACCGTGCGGTCGACTCCAGCTGCGCCTTATGTCAAGAAACCCTGCCCAGCCACGCCTGCCGGTCCTGTTGAATATTCTTTTCTTCTTCCACCGTGCTTATGACTCCCTTGATGAACCTACCCAGGTTTCGATAGTTTCCTCCTACCACCTATCAAGGACTGTCCCATGTCAGACCTGCTTGTGAAGATCCGTCGTGACGACCTGACCTTCCAGGTGGGCAGTAGATTATACATACCCTCCAATACCCAACCGAAAGCATCTCCTGGTTTCCAAATATAACCTAATTGACAGGTGATGACCTCAAATTATTTAGGAATGCGCTGAAATAACTAATTTTACCTTCAAGTATACATGTTCCCACTTCTCTGGAGGCTGAAATGGGGGTTAGTCATCGGAAGGGTATCATGTATAGAGATACGCTACCCACCCACAATATGCGATAGGGTATTCTTAACCATTAGCTCTCCGTTATCTGTCAGGACAATGTAACATCTGGTAACCTATAGCCGTACGTGGCATGCATGGTACCCTGCTATGCACCTTTGCTTTGTTCTGCTGTGGGAGTTCCGCGGGCACAGGCTTGACACAGTCTCCATATTGTAAAGACCTGTGGGGGTTCTACCCAAACATCTAATCCCCATTGACTCTTGACTTTACGCCTACCAGGATATCATCCTCAATAGGAGTCGAACTTATTCCTATGACTGTACAAGCACTTGCGCGTACAACTTGACTCCACTCTCTGCTTCTAGACTTGGAAACGAAACCCTACCGTACCAGATCTCCAATAAACAGTCTTCTCAGGCCCAGGGAAAAGCAGCCGCTCTGTCGTTGTGTCATATCAATGTGTCGACATCATATCATGTCACTTACATTTGTCCCCCCCACATTCTCGAACGCTGGTAGAAACTTGTTTTGCTTGCATTGCATTGCATTACATTGCATGGCATCATGATATACAGCAAAGTAGGATATAAAGGACGGGTGGAAAGGCGTAGGTAGCGTACCCGGGTAGAATAACAAAACAATATGCTGCCCCCACGGTCATGTCTTTTCTTGTCGGCTCCCTCGGTCCCTATTGCGGCAAGCCAAGTGGGATATATAAGATCTTGTGAAACAAGTCCCGTACAAGGCCACGAATAGTTAATCTACTCGATAGTGGTGGCGAAGCTCCAAGGCGATTCGCGGCTCGTATAGTTGTTCCCCTTACGCCAGTTGACTTTGGTACCAGGGTACCTTCCAAAGTCAATATTGAAATGACATATTCGTTCTTTTTATCGTGTGCACAAGACTGTTATAACAGTTATTCTACGAAATAAAATAACACGAGATCATGGGTGGAGCACAGCGAAATGAGATGAGGAGGTAGAAGTATATATATCAAATAAAACAGGAAATAGCTGAGTCAGATTGATGATAGATATATGTTTAAGGCATGATCTCCCTCAGCATTTCTTTTAGTACAGATACAGATATGTCAGGAAAAGGAAGTCCTTGTCAAGGGAAGTGTAGCAATGGTACATATGCCAATTTACCTATACCAATACTCAGGCTTGACGTAGTCGGCGAAGGTCTTTGGTTCGTAAGGGCCGTGGTGGTCGTGGCCTGATTATTAGGAGGGATTTTAGCGTGATTCATAGTATCATGGGGAAAAGGCACAAAACTTACTGTGGGCGTGGGGATCTTCCTTTGGACCAACGTAGTCCATCTTGATGGTGTTGCCGCACTCAGAGCAACGCTCAACTGGCCGGTCCTTGGAGACCTGACAATCCAAAAATGTAAAATTTAGCTACATTCATATCATAATGGATGGCACAACGCTGATAGATCCCGGAGGTAGCTGGGCAAATGGAGCAGAGAATCATATATCACTTACAGTCAGCCAGATGACAGTGTGAGAGTCGGCTGGGTAACCAGTGCATCCGACGTAGTGTTCCTCTCCGGCGGATTTGACGACAATTGGGTCCTGGATGGTTCCTATATGCAAGGAAGAGTGAGCAATGCCTCATACACAAACCTATTCTATATTTCGTAGACACCGATTGAGTGATTCATCCGGCGTATGACATTTCAAAATGTCCGGTTGGACAAATCATGAAAGAAACAATCCAGAAATGATGTAAACGGCACATACCGAGTCGTGAAGCATCGAGGGGCTTCTGGTCGAAAATATCGATTCCTTGCATTTTGCCCAAAAGTTCCAATCGCTCCAAACCCGTGGACTGCTCAAGATCAGTAGGAACGGTACCGGGCTTCGCTCCGGGGGCAAGAAGGTCTGATGGGGTTTTGGCCTCTAAAGGTATAGAAAATTCTCCAGTTAGACTCTTGACTTTAATCCCAGTATTGTATTCTGACGCCCATATTCCGTAGGAGAGTATAGGAATGTTGCAGAGGCTCAGGCTTTATAGGCATCTCCAAAAGACGCCTTCCGTCCAATTCAGAGCCTTTCGTGACCTCAGGGAAGCAAATACAAGGGTCTAGAGAGAAATTCTAGGTTCAGAACGGTTGTCTTAACGGACCTTCGAAGGAAACCATCTTTCCAGCTGATTCGCCAGGTTGAGGATCCCATTTCGACTTGGCTTCGACTGTCATAATTTAACAAGTTAGTCACGGCTCTAACCACGCGGTCTGTTCCAAATGACAATTTCTTCGCCCAATTGGACATCACATCACTCTCATGTCAATCAAGCGAAGCTTCCTTTAAGGCAAAAGGACGGAACTGATACGTACATCGAACGAACGACGTAGAAAAAGAGCGCTTCGCAACAGCTCGGACCGGAGTCCGTCTGGCAAGGGCGAAAACACTTCGCTGGACAAACATCTTTTCGCAATTCCTCAAACACCACCAATTGGTTTGTTCGGCGGACTCTGTTGTGGTGATAGGAGAGGTTTGAAGTCGAGGTGGAGTGATGATTTTGGACTTTTGGCTTGGAAAATGCCTGCTTCCGGATGGCCAGTCGCTGCTTAGTCATGGTCTAAACAGTTCTAATCTGACCAATGAGAATTATATCGTGTGGAGCCACTTTGAACAGATTATGTCATCACATAAATCTAACCCTTACCGTCCAAAAAAGGAAAGATCTCAACCACAAGTCATCAGTCGAGGTTCCTCGCTGCTCCGTCAATCGAACCTACAAAATCGTGACTTTGTAGTTAGAACGGATAGTTTACGTATATGCAACCTCTGGTTAGTCTCTCTAGTGTGCGATATCTCACTATTATTCGCTTCGACTAAGCTGCTTCTCTGCTCACACAGATGAGACCGCCGCCGAACAAACGGTTCTTGCAATCTTCTCGAACTTCGAGGTCACTCTATATCGCTATAAATGGGGACTATTCATCCGTTCTGGTGAATGGAACCCAGTCCATTGAAAAATATAGGAGCATTACCCCTTGACGGCTCTTTGAATATCTACGTGCGGATGGCCCGAACAACAGGGGATACAACTTCTAGCTTCAATCCATTCCAAAGTTCACATTGGAATGACCTTGATGCTAATTATTTTCCACACCATTGCATGTGCATCTATCTTAACGACAAGATGACTTTCATTTGTCACCCAATACTCCAGCACCGATTTTACCATCGTCATCTTTCATACCTTCGGCATCAGATTTAGTACGCCGCTTCGCATGCTTAACTCGGTATAACCTTTTACGCACGGATTGTTGCCCCTTAAATGTCCAGTTTTTGGTCATTCCGATTCCAGAAAATGCACAGAAGAGGTTGGGTAACTCCCTTTGTTTACCCTTCAACGTTGCGTTTTCCCTTTCCCTTATTTCCAGAGCACGCCTCTTTTTTGTACTACAAGGTCCGCGGGATATTAGAGGTACAGAAGAAAATTTCATATTGTTGAGCTTCCATACTTTATATCCTGCTGGGCCTTGTCAATGACCAGCCTGCAAATATTATTAACTGGTCCAAAACGAAAGATCCGAATATGCGGGTCACAAGTCGGGGTTGGTTACAGAAACACATTTACGTGCAGGCTTACGGCCTTAAACTTACTAAATCCCAGTAATGATACCCGCCTTTCCGAACTCTCTCTTCGTACATGGGCGAGTGTGACCCAGATACTAGGTTCCAGATATCACTAGTATTTCTCAACGCCTTGATTTGTCAACCGAGTCATTCTGTGAATTTGGTGGCCGCCCAGCAGTGTCTCTCCCTTGTACAACCTCTTCTTACCATGAAGCTTCACGCCGTAGACAGCGAGATATAAATTGGCTTATTGAAATATACTGACTTGGGCCAGCCAGTTTATTGCCCTTTGCTAGTATCTAGCTACCCGATTTGGTATCTTGATGGGCCCTGACTCAAATTTGCGCCCAACAGATGAAATAAAGGGGGCTACAAGTCTGTATTACGTAGCCAACTCTATCTTGTCCATACGTTGAGCATCAGCCCTAGGAAGGGTGTTTTCAAGAAAGGGTAGTGGGACGTATGCAAAACTAGACATTTATTATTTGGAGCAAACAAAATGGTAATATCAGATGATATCAATCTTTAAGCTACTTGGTCTCAGCCTCATGAGGCGAGAACACGCCTATGGTGCATAAATCCAAGCCTCATTATCAACTGCCTTGTTGGGGTACTTTTAATACTCAAGATTAAGACTGGAGTCATCCCCAATATTTTCGTTCTGAACATGTTCATTATTACATGCTGAATCGACAATGTTTTCGGGGTGTTCTACACAATGTGTAACCATCCTTAAGGGGGCAACAAAGTGCTTTCCTAGTTAAAACATGGGGAGGTGCTTCTGCAGCTATATCTCGTTTTTTATAGACGTGGATAAGGGTGAAATGCCCTTTTGTACTACCCTGCATCCACGCATCAAAGGAACAAAATCAAACCTCGATTGACTTTGGGGTATGCTTTCGTGTTCAATCGGCCACTGCCTCTACTGGGTTAGTCTCGATATAGGTATCCTTCAAAGTTTTCCTACATGAGACTCCAGTCGTCGGCTTACCGAAACCCCGCCCCGATCAAGAAGAGACGACTAACCAGCGCCACATAAACTGACCAAAATTCAGAGGCCGTGAAGTGTATGAGTAGCTCCCCTGCCTTTTTTACGGATTCCTGCATATCATACTGCATGATGTTAAGTCGTCGCCAGCAAAGTCATAACGGGCGTTCCTGCAGGCGCAGTCGAGTTGGATACAATGGTAGACTAATGTGCAACCTTTACGCATCTTTTCATCTCGCGCATGCACGGTACTCGGGAAATTTCCTATATTACCCTAACCCGGATCTAGTCATCGCCTAAGAACACTTCACCGCCATATAAATTACACGCGTCGTTCCCTTTCATCAGCTGAGGCTCCATCAGGCCGATATGTATACTATATGGTGAGTAGATCGCCCCTTGGATTCCCTACCCCTGATACCCACCCCTTCCGGAGACACACCCTTATATTGAACCCACAAAACCGGTCAGGCACGTCCATGTTAGATCCGCATGCGAACATCACACACAGCCTCGTAATAGCCGAGTGCTCCTAGTGTAACATGTTCAGTAATATGTTCAGTAACTTACTTAAAAATAGACTAACGAGTTGTTTGCTCTAGGTGTATATCCGGTGGAACCTCTCCAGGAATATTGTGGCCCGGACAATAAAATACCGAGATTAAGGACTTTATCTACAAGTATAGAATGTATGGGGACGATATCTCCGTAAGAAGCTTTATTTTGTTATAAGACTTTCTTGATCGTTATATCTCAGGAATAAATAGAGCAATGGAACCACCACCTTGGTACAAAACACGAATGAGGTTGAAGGGTATGTAAAAGGGGACCATCAATGTGAAGCCACACCGACTAAATAAACAGGGGACTCAGCCCACAGCCCGCCAAAGGGAGCTGGAGTACAGAAAAGGGTATATATGCATAGATACAAAATCAAAATTGACATCTTCAACACGGCATCCTGTTAGCTCGCTCCCACTTGTACTTCGTGTCTTGCTGCCAACAGTCAATCTCAAGATGCAAGAGATACAGAAATCGGAAAGGAAAAATACAATACATAGGAAAGTAAACATAGGAACTAATATCCGCCAGAGGGAAAGAAAAAAAAAAGGAGTGCTCCATACACTTAGCATGCTAGCTACAGGCCTCCTGTGATATTACAGGGATGTAGGCCAGGTGAGCCAATCATTATTATACGGGAAAGGGTTCAGTAGATAGAAAATTGACGCCAACGGTTATGCAGCTAGTAAAAACGAAAAAACGGAAGAAAAGGAAAACCAAACCAAGCGAGAGAAATTATTAGTAAAGAAGAATATAGAGTAAGCAAATGGCTCTGAAGCGAATGACTAGGGCTCCATACAAGATACATCTAAACAAAGGGAAGGAAAGGGTATTGACCGTAATTGAGTTGGCTACAGCCATCGTTCGTCTGGCATTCATCCAGTCAGTGGTAAAATGGAGAGCTGGACAAAAGGCAGAGAAGAACCTGGAGTTTGCTAATTCAAGGTTTGTGGTGTCAATTTGCACAGGACACCTGGGTATCATAAGGGCGGTAACGGGATTGGGTGAAATTAGTCGCCTAGTTATTGGTATTTTATCATATCAAGCAAGTTGAATTGACATCCCACTGAAGTTGGGATAGCGGGAGGTTGCAGGAACCATGGGATATAGCGCGATGGGTGTCTCATATTCTTGCTTCATTCTTCGGTCCAGCCGGAGAAAAGATTCGGTGTGGTTGATTACACGTCAACAATGATGACTCGACGGGAATCGAGCTCGAGAGAATCTGTGACACAATTATTTTTCTTGTTTCTTTTTCTGTAGAAACAAAAGGATCACCGGTCTCTCTTTGAACGTTGTGCCTTTAGATGAATTTTTCCCGCCGGTATGTTTGTTCTAAATCTTAAGAACTTTCGATGGCCCAGAATTACTGCTTTCTCTTGACATCCAGATGTAAGGAGGCAGGCTCAAGGTGTACCTGTCGAATTTTCGGATCTTGAATCTGAATAACCAAAGTAGAGAAAAGTATCCGACAAATCCCGAAGTCAAATTGAAAATTAAGAGTCGAAAGGGAGAGAAAGAAAAATTAGACATCGATATTAATAGACGTATGCGGTGTTCTTTGTAATTTAGAGCAAGATGGGTACCAATAGACTTGAATGTACCACGCTGTCGCACATCATGAGGCGCGGGTGGAAGCGATCTAGTCCCGATAGGTAGCAAAATGGCATTCGAGAAGCGTTCTAGCGGGAGTCGAACGAGGAGTGGCTCTTAGATTGGTGGGGGATTTGAGGGGTGGATTTCTGCAGCTTTTTCTCGACAGGCTGCGGGAGAAAATCCGCTGCCGACCTTCGTAGCAACGATACGCCAGCGATCGTTTTCGTAATCTTGAATAGCGTTACGCAGGCGTTGCACCTTTGAAGACAAAACATGTCAGTATATCGGGCACCAGCAGGATGGACGTGATTAGTGCCCAGTGGATTTAAGTTTCGAAAAAAGGGGGAAAGGTTCAGAAAAGGTCAGGGGAAGAACGGGGATCAGGAATGCACGGGTCAGGGCAAAAGGACGTACTGCTTCGTCTGTCCAAACTGTTGCTTTTGCCCGCAGTTTGGTGCAATATCGTACTTGCAGGGTCCCGCTGGTCCGACCTGGGAAGAACTCTGCAATTTGCTTCCAGGTCAGGTTCCGATTTTCCTTCAGCTCCACGAGTAAACTGTCGTCTTCCGGTGTGAATTTCAATTTTGGGCCCCTGGGGCGAGGCGCAGGGTCCGGCATGCCCGGCTGGCCAACGACGCTTTGTGAGCCGGTGCCTCCACCGGGGGAAGTGAGTTCACCATCACTACCCTGAACTGCCGCTAGGGTAGCCTGGGACGGTAGTCGGTGATGGTGATGTTGTTGATGAATCGGGGATGTCTGGTGATAATCATGTTGTAGAGCATGTGGGTGGTGAGATGAATGATCTCCCGGAGTAGGTAAAAGCATTTCGGAGGAGTGTTGCTCGTCAGCATGAGATGATTCTGGAAGCATGGAAAGTCCGATCCCAGAAGCCGTCTCATCACTCCCTCCGCTTCGCCCATCGTCCGCTCGCCGCCTTTTCACACCATGCCGGTCTCCAGGGTACGGCAACGGGAGTGAAGTGGAACTGAAATGAGGAGGCAGCTGCGGTGGCACCATAGGCGTTGGAATCATAACTGGCTGCTGTTGCAAGTCACGTACAACGCCGTGCTGACTAGGGGAGGGCATCAAAACCGCACCTGGACCGTGGCTCGGCTGACTCGGTTGTTGAGATTGTGAGTGCTGGGGCTGTTGCTGCGATGCCTGGTGGTGCTGCTGCCGGTGCTGCTGGTGCTGTTGATGGGGGCTCCGGTGCAGGGGATGCTGTTGTGGCTGAGATTGGTATTGCGAAGTATGGCCACTCGAAATGAAAGCTGCTCCAGGGCGTCCCCCATGATGAAGCGTTGCTTGCTGTTGGTCTGCCTCGTATACCAACTGGCTCTGTTGCTCCTGCGCTTTCGTCTGTTCGTGGGCGGAGTAATCAATTTGATAATCCCGGTATGGATCCGCCAGCGTCACGGCTGCGAACCAGCTCTGCTAGAGCTTTGAAGCTCCAGCAGGCTACTTGAAATTTGCGCCAGAGGGTGACCTAGTGGTAGGGAAGGGCGGTTGTAAAACCGATTGCCCTGGGGATTGTCCAGTCCGTTGCCCTCCCTGTTCAGTTCTGCCTTCGTCCACTCCTGAATGAAGCCCTGATCCTCCTCTCTTTTTCCGCTACCAACTCCTAGGGCCTAAATTCAGCCCCCTCTTTCTCTCTCTAGGCGGCTCCTAGATAGGTTACTCGGCACACCCTGTGCGTATAAATGAACTGGATCGCGTGAGGCAAGCTCGTTGATAGCAGCGAAAAGAGTAGTAGAGGAACGCCCACCCCACCTTCTAAGGACCTTAGCGATGCCAGAATGATAATAATAAACAGTATGATATTGATAGAAGAAGGGGAGAAAGGGGAAGATCGAAGGTCGAAAGAATGCTATATCAGTAGAAGGGCATATGATATTTGTTCAAGTGAGAAGTTGCATATGTCGAAAAAAAATTGCTGACAAGCTCACACTTCAAAGGCAAAACTAGTTCTGTGCATGGTTGTATTATTATTATAATTTATTGTCATGGAGGTCATCGGGACGCTGGCGACAGATCATAATAATAATAGGTATGGTAATAACGGCATAGCAGGGCATGGGATAGTAATAATAATAAGGGCGTATTAAGAGAGGGGCTTGATCAAATCAGAATAGAGATGGGAAAGGAAAGTATAAAAAGGTATTTTAAAATGAGTATATGCGACGTCAGGACCGGCAAGACTACCTGTGCAAAAATGAAGGGCAGAGAAGAGAATTGTGCCGACCTGTGGCCCATGAGCAGGAAACAACGTTTAGTCGGGAGAAGCTGCCGTTAATTAGCTTCGCCGGGATAAACTGGGGCTTGTCTGAGAGATTCGATCAAGGGAAGCTGGGCAGGAAGCCTTCGCAAAGCCTAGACTGTAATTAGCGAAATTCCCGATATCACTACTCAAGTTCCTTTCCATGAAACGTGTGTAAGTATAGATGTAGAGGTGTACACAGATACGTACGATGCGTGTGATATTCAAAAAGACCCACCCGCGCCACCGTTGGAGGTTTGAAAAAATCCACGGATGGCTATGACAGGCTCCACAGCTCCAGATATACATAACACGTTATAAAAGGAGGTCGAAAGGAAAAAAAAAAAAAAAAAAAAAGCTATCGAGCAGGTGGCTGCTAACCCCGTGTAATGATGTTCTGACCAGTGACGAACATTAAAATGACAAGGGTTGCCAGTGGATAAGGTGTGAGAATCCCCGTCAGGAGAGATATGTCGAGAAGCAAAAAGCGGACAGTCGTGTCAACCCAGCACACTGGATGCATGCCGAGAGTTACAAGAGGTGGTTGAACCAGCTCCCTGAAAGGTTTCTCTGTTCTGTCCTCTTCACTTCATCCATATTATTTCGGGACTTATTGGGCATCAGACGCTCGGGGGTGTGAAGAGTGGCCTGCTAAGCTGCAGCTGCGGCAATCGTCCATAACAACCCTACTAACAACACTTGGCTCAAGGATGCTAAGCGTTCTTTCTGTACAGAGTTGCGTATATACGCTCTTCCCGCCAGCTAAAGAGGGATGTGCTCGCACTTTCAGCCTTCTTCCTCATCGTCTATTTCTTCTTTTCTTTTTCTCTTCTTCTTCTCCCTCCCTCCCTCTCTCATTCTATCTTTCTCTCCTCACCTTGTTCTAGCTTTCGATGTTGCCAAAGGGGAAAAAACAAAACCAAAAAAAACCAAAAAGGGCGTCCATCGTCCCCACGGCAAACGGAGTTTGGCTTTCCCGCCGCGAGCTTCGAGCTTGTGGCTTTCTTTTTTTATCATGGATCTTAACCGAGAAAAAAAGGAGAGACGGGAGAGAGAGAGAGACCGAGACAGAGGGGAGACTGTGGATAGATTCTCCCATGATCATGAGCGTTGTCAAGTCTGTTCTCCGTGGAGTCGGAGCATCTTGACGCGACAGGATGTTGCATCAAGACTTAGCTCGCTGCGAACAAGGGCTCTGGCAGACCAACGTGCAGGGATCCTGGCAACTGGCCATCACGGCCGCGGTGGAGATCGCAAGATGGGCTCGAAAGCAAGGTAAAAGTCGCTGTCGCCGTCGCTGTCGCTGCCACCGTCATTGTCGTTGTCGCTGTTGACGGGCTGAGGTTGAGGTTGAGGTTGAGGTTGAGGTTGAGGTCGAAGTCTCTTTTGACGTCGTCGCTCCTTTTAGCGGGCGGTGAAACCTCAGCGCGCGCTGGGCAGAAAGAAGGTAACGTGCCGCCGGCCGCCGCCCAGGCAAAAGAAAAGCAGCGCAGCCAAAAAGTCCACCGTCGTGGATCTCTTTGCTTCTTCTTCTTCTTCTTCTTCTTCCGATTCTTCACTCGCCCACTTCGTCTCTCCCTCTGACCATGTTTTCTTATTCTTCCTCCTTTGGCTCCTTGCTTTTTTTTTCCCTCTTCCTTCTCTCTTTCAGCCCTTTGGCCTTTTTTCTCCTTACTTTCTCTCAGAAATTCGTTACTTGGACTAACAGGCGGAAAAAAGCAAGCATTAACGTCAGAAGAACAAATATGAAAATTTATACATGGAAAAAGAACAGAAGAAAATCTTAACTATAAAAAAAAGAATCACGAATCGAATTCCAAAAAAAGGAGATCGGCGTTGTGCAAGCGCGGTCGATATTTATGCGAAACGGCTGCAGTTTCCCCTGTGCTGGCTTGGGAGAGATTCGGTGCCGGGGAGAGGGAGGTACGCGGGCATAAATATATGTACGTATGTACGGAGTATATATATTAGGCTTGCACGGAGGAACATGCCAAAGAACTTGCGAAGCAGTGCCTGAGTGCGCTGGAGACCGTTGATTTATCTATCACTTTTAAACATCTTGATCAGCAGAGGTCTGTGGCCGGTTGATGTCCGTGGCTTGCATTGGCTCTGGGGTATCAGGACAGCCCTCGACATAAGCGTGCATGCAGACAACTCTCGACTCCATAGCGCGATATCCATTGATAGCCACGCCAGGAAGCGGGATGATAATTTCTTTTCCAACATAGACACCAGCAACAACAGGAGCGATGTGATGGGGGAGGTGAGGTGAAGCCGAACCAGCAACTAAAAAAAAAAAAAAAAGGCAAAACAGACAGGAAACAGAAGAATACGACATCATCCCGCTCACTGAGAAGGACTGGACACAGCATCACAGGTTTTGAGCCTGTCAGAGCCATCTGAACACGAGCTGGCCCCTTCGGGGCTTTCTGGGGATGCTTTTCTTGTTTCTTTTTCTGTGCGTGGTTTTTATGCACTCTTGCAGAAAAGCCGTTGTTGAAGGGGCTTCTCCCCCAAACCACACCAGCCTAAACCAAGGCCTTGCGCTATCTTTTTAGGCAAACTGACTAGCCGGGCATGGACCAGCCCAGTGTTGCGCCACTGCTTTTATCGATAGAGCCGATAGGACGGATGACGAAGTAATAATAATGCGGTTTGCTGGTTGTGGAAGAACCCCCCCGGTTTCAGAGGTAGTGTCACCGAAAAGGAAAAGAGGGAGTCGGGCAGTTTGCCGAGTCTCGTCCAATCGCCAATACAATCTCGAGGTATGCCCTGGTTATATGCGCCTTCAGGAGTAGGACCATGGAAAAGGTCAGCAACAACCCCTGGTCCGCGTGGATCGAAGTTGAATCTCAATATGATCGACTTGATATGTAATAATATATTAATGACAGCGTCCAAAAGGCATATCGGCTGGGTTAATTAGCTACAACCCACCGTTCTCGCTCCTCACATGCCGTATCCATTATGAACAGCAGCCAGAGTCGACTTCAGCTCATGCAGAGTACGACCTCTGTCAGTATTTCGCGGATAGTTCGGGGCCAGCACTCCGTGCCGTGAGAGCTAATTTAAACCACTTTTCCAAACATAGAACCGAACCGCAGGCGGACGGATACGCTTAACCGGCTGAATGCGCGCGAATCTAACTCCGTTTGCATGAAAATATAAATAAAATACGTAGTTATACCATATTCAAGGTGCAAATTCCTTGAGGGAAGTTCCAGGCAAGAGCAATCATTTCCCGCAATGATAATAATGTTAATCAACTCCTCCGTACATCGTTATCGTATTTAAGTATTTGCGCGCACAGATGAAGTTTCACCACTAGAGACGGTCCTAGCTGATTTCGGATGCTGCAGAGCCTAGCTCATCAGTCCCTCGTGAAAAAATTTACCTCCCAACCGAATCTACCCAACGCTATCCCCCGGCCCAGGTGTGGGAGAATGGGTACCCAAGGCCGTCGGCATTGGCGCGCATCACTCTTCTGACGGTGGAAGGAATCAAGAGAGCGAATCAAAATATCGTGGGGAGGGGTGAGGAAGTTGAAGAGGTTTTTTTTTTTTTTTTTTTTTGTAGGTCTCCACACCGTAGACATGAAGCAATCATAATATAACAACAGTCTGCTGTGGCTGGATTTCGCCAACCCCTGATCAGATAAATGCGGATTCTCCAAACCTTCTTTATGAGCTTGGTACAGACACTGACTCGTCTGAAGAAGATCTCACAGAGTTAAGTCAGAGAAACAGAAACAGAAAAAGGAAAAGCAGAACAAAAAGGAAAATATATAGAAGCCCAGTCTCTAGGTTGCTCCTCAGTTTTCAAGTTTCAACGCAGAAGAATAGGCGAGCCAACCTATTACCAGAATCATAGCGGTTCTCGAAAAAGCGAAGAGGAGGACAGTGACAATAAGCAGGAAAGTAAAAAAGTTGCAGAAATGTCGAGGAGATTTAGATCATGCCTGGTAGGCTCCGCATGTCTAGCAGAAGCTGCATCCTTCTGAAAACAAGGATATCGGGCTAGAACGCAATTGCGTGATAATATTCAACCTGAGCTGCCCACCACATGCAAAAGGAACTCCGGATGGAGTTACATGAGCGTGTAGGGGGAAGAAGAGAGGTGTAGAAGTTGAGACTGGTCAGCCAGCCATTCATGGTTAATTCTCCACCACAAAGGGAAAGGACCAGCCCCCTGCGGTGCATAAACAAGGAGTAGACGAGAAGAGGGAACGGGAGAGGCACACCGCAACAAGACAGTCAAAGAAAGTAAACAGAAATTCACCAATCGATACCGGCAGCTGTACGGACCGAACGAGTACGGAGTACAACCTCTTGATCCCACTCTTCGGCTTGCCCTGCAATGAATGTCAGTATGGGCCGGTTCCTCATCAGCAACCAATGACAGTATCAACAGATGCAAGGGGTCTTTCAAGGAACGTCGGGCCCATCCGCGTAGAACCTTGGCCCAACGGGAGGAAAGAAAACGGAGGTAAAAAAGAATGATGTTCCATCGAAGAAAAAGAAAGAATCTAAAGAAAGAGGAAAGTAGAGAGCGAGAAAAAGAGAGAAAAGGAAGAGGAAAACTATACTCCGTAGAAGGGCGAAAACATACAGGACAAGGGAATCAAAGGTGTTCAACTGTCCACTGGACTTCAGGCGAGGCTGAGGTACATACGGGTCCATACCCAGAGTGCTACTTATTAGACCGTTGTGAACTAGCTTCTTTCAGAGCTTTTCTCAACGTCGGCGACTCAAGAGAGCTGATGATAATTATGACGTGAGGTAGTAATATGCTCCATTTTTTTATTTTTTTTATTTTTTCCTTCTCACGAATCCTTTATATCCGGCTTTAACTATTCACCTCATGAGAAGAAAGGAGGAGAGCGTCTTCAGCATAGATCAGAGACGATCGTGAGAGACTGTCGATAAGCCCTGAATCTCCGAATCAATAAATAGGCCTCTCACGCTAGGAGCCGACTGTAGTCTTTTGAGATGTGAATAATACAGCTCCACCCCGACTTTGCAGTATTGGGAGATGTGGCGCATGATAGGACAAAGAACGATGCTTGTTGGCGTTTGAAATCCTAGCATGGCAGGCTTCGGGGCTCAATTATTGGGTTTAACCACTGTGTCGAGCGAAATGACAGCCCCAATTGCAGAGCTATGGTATTCGCGATATCCATGAGATGTGAATCCGTCTGCATTTCGAGGTGGTGGCACGATAATAGTAACACCTTCTGCCAAACTGTCTGCCCTGGTGGATACGGCCAATGCCTGTCTGCTAGCTTCCATCGTCCAAGGGGCCAAGAGCTGCGTCGATACTCCTATCGTATATTTATCATTCGACGTACTCCGTATGTGACATATAAGCTATGATATAGCAACGTTTCCTGCTATACGAAATGAGCCAATTCGTCGCTTTTCTCTTCCTCCTGCTGTCGTGTCTGCGCATCTGTCGTTGGATATTTCTTTTCTTTTCTGCGCCGTTTTTTGGGGCGTTTGGACGTTTGGACGTTGCTTGGCTTATATAAGCAGGTTGATTGGACAGAAGCAAAAGTTGCTTTTTGCTGTTTGATAACAACCGGATTATATATGCGTGAGCAGGCCGGGATGGTTCAGCACGGCGCGCCCATGCGAGAACGAGCTCTGGCAAGAGTGATCGACTGCCGTGCATTTGAAGGAAGGACGATGAGAGCGACGACGAGCAGCACAAGAGGACAAACCGCAAATCCTGGGCGAGTGGGTAGACGGGACATCTACCTGTCCAAGTCAAGCTTCATGTGATCCATCGATGCTTGAACGCCGAGCGGCTGCGTCGCTAAAAAAAAAACAAACTGCGCTAGGCTATTAATAGGGACCAAATGTCCCTTCTGGGCTGGCTTCTAGCTTCTCAAACGAAGCCATGCTTTGTAAGAAGTACGTGACAGCGCTGAAGGAATCTCCGGCGCTTCGTCAAAGGGATGTCTTGCGTATCTCCCTGTTCCCTGGTAGTCCCGGAGCGGGGATGACGGCGAGGGCAAGAAGAGATAGGGGGAAAGAGGAAGAGGGAATAAAAAAGGTCCTCCTCATGACCATGGTTTGAGAGGAGTGAGTGTGCTGTAATGCAGGTACCGGGATGCCTGCTGTCAACTCATATCCAGGCTCACCATATATCCGCTCTCCACCAGGGCAGACATAACAAGGCAAGTGATTAACGGCTTTCCTTTTTTTTTTTTTTTTTTTTTTATTTTGCCGCTTACCAACCCGGGTTAACAAATGCTGCTGCCTCCATCTCGTCTTTTTTTTTTTTTTTTTTTTTTTTTTTTTTTTTTTTTGGGTTTTAGTTTTGTTTGTTTTCCTCTGACATGACTAGCAGCTAGTTACTTATGGAGCCCTGAGCAGTTTCGAAGGTTCAAAGCTTACCACGTCCTATCAACCAAACATTATGGATTATGGATCCTCGGGCTGCCAACTTTGGCCATGCTCTGCCAGCTCCGCCAGCCTTCCATATCGGCTATGGGCGAAACCACGTCCATCGGCGTTGCGTTGAAACAATCAAGTTTACGCGGACGTCCGTCAATACTCTCCTGCTTCATCGGCCTGCCGCAAGTTTTAACCGAATCGAGCAGCCTAATTTGGCGGTCAACCGTCAAAAAGGGAAAGCTGGAGCCTTTTCCAGGATAGCGATATGTTGGCATCTGGCAGATAGGCAAGATGGTGAAGCCTTGAACTTTACCTGTCACCCCTGACACGACCTTGACATGCAGGCGGCATGAATATACAGATCGAAACAAACAAATGGATGGCTCTCCTTTTTCCACCTCGGCTTTCAACCGGCCTTATCTCCTTTTGACTCGCAAGCTGGTCCGGTCGTCCCCCACTCCGAGAAAACACTTGACAGCGGCAGTTTCCAGCTCCCTTAGGTCAGACCATGAATTCCAACCACGATATATACTCTGGATGTGTTACGTATTTACATGCGGTTTGTCTGTGATTCAAAAATCCCCACCCATCTCTAAGTATTTGCTTCTTCCGTGCATGCTACTGAGAGGATGCAAAATGCCTGCACTCTTTCCCCTTTCCCCCCGCCCCCAAGGCCTACTTGCAGGGTTCAGGGATCGGGCGCAGCTTACTACTAATTTCGCAGTGTCTAATTAAACCCTTCCCAAACTTACATACCCTGGAGAATCCAGGAAAAACCGCCGGGCATCTTATTACGCATATTACTAAGTACGGACAAAAGTCCGGACGCCTATGAATTTTGTTTCTCTCCATAGGCAGCTTTCGGAGACTGTCCATCCTTTCGTTTTCGTTATTAATCCCCCCCCCTTTCTCTGCTCTCTTCCCTTCCAACCCAAAATTAAGGTTGCTTTTTTTGGATTTTGACTGTCCCCATTGGCCTGGATTGTCCGGCTGTCAATATCAAGTTCTCATTTCCATGAACGAGAAAATTTGTTTTGCTTAATTTGTTTTTCTTTTATTTTCATTTCGCTCACGAAACGGGACGAGTAAACTAGTAGTTGGACGGCGTTATCCAGACACCCCCACGTGACAAATGCCACATGGCAACCGTTTTGACTAGCCAAACTCTCGCCAGCCTTGAATCCCCTTGTCTACTTTCACAAAGTAAGGAGTCCTCGGAGCCTGCCGAGCTGGCTCGTCTATCTCCGGATCAGCAAAAAACGAAAGAAAAGCAAAACAAAAAAAAAAAAAAGAGTAAAAGAAAAAGTAAATGCTGCTTTCCTTGTGCAGAGTCGAGCAATACGAATGCAGGGTGGAAAACGTGAAGAAAATGATTGCTCTTTGTGGCGTCTAAAGCGTAAATATGATTCACGTTGACTGACAATTATTCCGTAAATCTATCAAGCCGTTAACTAGCTATAACACCCATTGAGTAATGTTCATTATTAGTAGGCCATTGTCACACGTCCAGAAACCTCCGTTTAGTTAGTTGTATATGCATTAGAAGCTAAGTCAGGTTAGCTGTAGGCTTGATCAAAGCTTGATAGGCTATATTGTAACGATGGATAACAGGCAAAATATATTTACGCAAACACCTCTCGAACCTGAGCAACCCAAATGTTTATTTCCTTTCCTTTCCTGTTTCTCTTCGTCGTGATCCATTTCATTTTTCTTTCTTTTTTCTGTCGAGGAACTGGAGATCCACAGACACGTCTGAGTTTGTTCGTTAAGTGTCGGGAACGATGTTTCTCGCGATAGCAGGCGCGCAAAACGAGATACACAAGTCTCAGAATATGCCACAACATACTTTTAGATGGCAATGTTAGCAACTCCGCTAGCCAAATCCTTTCCACAAGCCTGAGACTTCATGATCTCGTCAAAAACGCCGGCGGCGGTGGCAACGAGGCCAAGGAACGGCTTGCTTGGGGCGAGAACACGGGACAAATACTCCGGGTGGAATTGAACACCAACAAACCAAGGGTGGTCTTTGAGTTCGATGATTTCCATGCGCTCGCCCTTGTCGTCCTTACCAATGAAGTGAAGTCCAGCTTTCTGGAGAGTATCGATATATTCCGGGTTGACTTCATAGCGATGACGGTGGCGTTCATCAATAGAAGTACGGTTAAGTCCATACAGCATTCGGAGCTTTGACCATTCACTGTCCTGTTGGAAAATCGTTGGTCGAGATCCGAGGCGCATAGTACCGCCAAGGTTGACTTGATCAATTTCAGGCATGAAAACGATAAGAGGATCCGGAGTGCGGTCATCAAATTCAATAGAACTGGCTTTTGAGATCCCGCAGACGTTACGGGCGTACTCAATGACAGCTATTTGCATGCCGAGGCAGATACCAAGGTAAGGCTTGCCTTTGGTACGAGCCCAGTGAGCCGCAGCTACCATTCCCTCAGTCCCACGAGTGCCAAACCCGCCGGGAACAAGGATGCCGTCAGCGGTACACATATCATGCCAGGCCTTGTGGAATGCCTCGGGGTTTGCCTCGGCGGCTGATTTCTCAAGATTTGAAGCATCAATCCAGGTAATCTTGAGCTTTCGGTGGCAAGCCATGGCAGAGTGCTCTAAAGATTTTATAACGGAGAGGTAGGAGTCGTGGAGACTGACATACTTGCCGACAAGGGCAATGTTAACAGTACTATAGACATGCTCTTGGGAAGTTGTTAGGGCCTTCCACTGTTTCCAAGTGTTTTGGCCCTTGTCTATAGAGGCTTGGGGAATGGTAAGTTCATCAATTTTCAGGATATCACGAAGCTGACCAAGGAATCCTTGCTGTTCTAAGAGGAGAGGGACGTGATATGTTGAAGCAACATCATGGACGCCAATCACTTGCTCAGGCTCAACCTGGCAGAACATAGCAATCTTATCAGTGGTGGCCTTGTCAAGCGCTCTTTCACAGCGACAGGCAATCTGTTGTTTCAATGTTAGCAAATGGACAAGTTATACTACCATATCTTCTGATTGACTTCTGCCTAAGTTGCATACCAGATCAGGGCTCAGGCCGGCTGAGCGCGCATCTCGAATAGCTTGCTGGGTAGGCTTGGTCTTCAACTCCCCATGAATTGCAGGGACAAGCGAGACATGGATCTGGAGAAAATTGTTCTTTCCAGCACGGCGGCGTAGCTGACGCATAGCCTCAACAAAGGGAGCACTCTCGATGTCACCAAGCGTCCCACCAAGCTCTATATTCAGTTTAGCTTCAACAAATGTTCCTTTTGGCATTGGTTATTCAATGGTCATACCGATAACACAGACATCGGGCTCCTCGTTGCTATCGTCAGCAGGAGTCCTAGCTACACGCTCTATCCAATCTTGAATAGCATCCGTGAGGTGAGGAACAATCTGGACAGTACGGCCAAGGTAGTCCCCTCGCCGTTCCTTTTCGATGACATGCTTGTACATCTTTCCAGTAGTAATCTATGCACAAAATGAGCAAATTCTCTAATACTCTATAACGGGTGTACAACAGACTCACGTTGTTATCTCGCGAGAGAGTAACATTCAAGTACCTCTCATAGTTTCCGAGATCTAGATCGGCTTCACCACCATCGTTCAACACGAAGACCTCACCGTGTCTAGTCACCAATAGTCAGACGATACTTCTTAAAGCATGCCTCAAGGTTTATTACATACTCCGTAGGTGCCATAGTCCCGGCGTCTACGTTCATGTAGGGGTCGATCTTGATAGAGGTAACGTGCATCGATAGTTAGAGCTAGCGACCCAATTGCATTATTGACAAGGTTAGACTTATCTTGAGGCCATCGGTCTTCAAGAGAAGTCCACTTGAAGAAGCTGTATAAGTCGCAATTGTTAGAACATGCATATTCGACATAGGGGTTTCAGCTTTGAGCTTTCCCAACAACTGGCATATGATATATATATCAAATCAGATGCATACCAATTACGCCCTTCCCGATGCCACTGATCACACCTGTATAAATAATAAAGACATTAACTAAATGGTTTCTTATAATATATCAAGCTGTTCGCAAACTGATCCTCTCGAATCCCATAATACACGGGATGCGAGGGATCGAAAACATGAGTCAAGCATTGCTGCAGGCTTACCTCCAGAAACAAGTACGTATTTCATCGCGGCGGTTTAAGTATGAGGAAAAAAGAGAGAACACAGTCTGTAACAACTCGATAATTACAGAAGCAAAGAAAACGGATCGCTACTTATATTCAACTATAAACGTAGGGGTCCCTTTCCTGGCTTCTGCCAGGGGGGAGGAAGGAAAGAGAAGGAGAAGAAAAAATCGAAGTCACGAAACTTCCGCCTCTTTTTTTTCTTGGTGGGATGGAGCGACTTTCGCGTCGCCGCCTTTTTTTTTTTTTTTTTTTTTCTGCCACTAATAGAAAACGCGCGCCAGAAGCGGTTTAGCGCCAGCCGCGCGAAGTAATATGGCACGTGACATGATTTTGGCCGCGGGCGGCTCAAGCATCAAAGATAAGATCGTTGAGGACGCTGGGATGGCAGGAGAGAAGAGAGAAGATGCAGGATGGCCGACAGCCAGGCAGACAGAGTGAGTAGATATTCAGGCTAGAGGGCTACCAACAACGACGAAGAGCCTTGCAATTATCGAAGATTCACTGCTGGAACAGACTTGCTCCCAATTATCAGCTTCGACAAAACTCTCAATGTTATTCCCAGCCAACCGAAGACAACGGATTCCGGTGTTGACCATTCTCTCAGTCAGTCCGCTGCTGTTATCGTTGGCAGTTTTATCCGTCGTGGTAGTAACGCCGCTACGCGTGTCTGTGCTATATTTGCTCCAGTCGTTCTCAACCGCATTGTTTACCATCTCTCGTCCGTGCAAGAGGAGGGACGAGCGGAATATTTGAGCGGCGTGAGAGGATGCAGATGGCGGTAAGGACGCCTGAAAAGGCTTTTGTAGGCTCACAGGAGTAGATGAATCAGCAGTGTGTAGCTGCCATGGAGCCCCAAGTGATCGGCTGTACGTTGCGTACGAAGAACAGAGTCCCTCGATAAATGAAAGAACTCCGGCCTGGAAGGATTTGAATCGGTCGCCACAATAACCCCATGCTATATAGTATAAATGGAGATGGGCAAGGAGCTGGGCCATATCACCGTTAACACCTCGTCCAGGACCTGAGAACTCAAAGTCAATAACTCCAAGCTTAGGCAACTTAGGTAGCTCTGAGCCATGTGTATCCCGGAATGTTTGTAATGACAGGTTCTCAATAAGAATACCGCCTGGCCATAGATCGCCAACGCTAAAACATCTTTCGCCATCCCACTCTTCCTGGCGCTCGAAGTCTTCCTCAATAACGTGGCTTAATTTCTCTGCCTCTTCACAGTTAAATTGAGCAAGATACCGTCGCACAGTCGACACGGCAGCGTCTCGCACTACCTCCCTCATACTATTGTTCTCGAATCGGGCAAAATTAGGGTCACAGCCATATGACTTGATCGAGTTCAGCGTTCCTTTAGCATGAAGAATAGCAAGGAATTGACCGAATTTCTCTCCAGTAGACAGGCACAGAGAGCAATCTTCCAAAAAGCAGGACCCATACAATGAAGGCCAGCCCGGGTAGTGGGAGGATAACCAAGAGATCGAGAGAAGATCCGATAGCGGTGGTAAAGTGCCTAGGTCTTCAAGTACCAGGATATGGGATTCCTCGTCATGAAATACCAGGCTCGGAACTCGTACGGATGTTTCTGTCAACATAGATAGAAGCGGGCCATCCGGCGCAGAAAATAGCGCAAGTGCGTTCTTTTCAACATTCTATACGCCTGGTTAGAATAGTTATAAACATCATCTAGCCTGAATAAAGAGGGGCTGAACTATATAGCCTTACCTGTCGGATCTGGTCGAATGGAGCAGCTTCACCTACGCTAGCTACGAAGGGCGGAGCATACTTCAGTATCAAACTCTGATGGCCCTCAAATGAACTAGGCTGGCCAGCTGCCTCATTCTCCCCACCCGCATATTTATCCTTCATGGCGCGGACTGTGAGGTTGACAAGTCCACCCGTAAGTCGTTTGATCGTCCAGGAGTTAAGGGGATCGAGTTTCTTGAAGTAAGAGTCGAAATCAAAAGACATGCTTCACTAGGAGGTCGGCCGACTTGCCAACCAAAGCAGCCCAGAACCGTTTGACAAACAGGAGATGAGTTAGTTGCCTACTTTCCTCCTACGGAGATGAGGGAGGAAAACTAGATAGCAAGATACGAGAGAAAAACAATCATTTGTTCAATTGGTGGAATATATAGTTGTTCTCTATCGTAGGGCGTGCTTGGCTGGCGGCCAGAGCCCTGAAAGGGCTATACGACCGCCAATCCTGAACTAGAAACTAGGTTGGAAGGTCTACCTACGGGCTGAACAAGCAAAATTAGTATTCACAGGGCCTGCAGAGGTCTACCACTGACGTGTCATTCTTAGTAGATTGTATGGAGTATTAGATACAGATAAGAAGTCTCCATTGGTTCCGCAAATACATTTTTTCACAAATCATCAGGAACGCCCAAGGTAATACACCAGCTCCATAGCATACATATCCTCAAAAGGGAAACACCGAGGACTTATAGAGAGAGGAAAAAGATAGGAAACTAATAACGCAATCGAAGAAGTAAATGAAACTTGAAATGACCTATAAAAGATAGATCACTCGAAGTTATCCGTCCTGTCAACCCAGATATCCTCCAGCTCGGCAAAGTTTTGGAAGTGCAATGGTCTATGCTGGTCATCATAGAATCTCTATTCGATAAAGCAAAAAAATCCAGTTAGTTAAAACTCTCTAAATATCGTAAATTGTAGGAAAGACCGAGGAAGCTTACCATCGGAGTATCGACCTTGACATAGATAGGCCGCTTCTCCACACTGCTGAAAGAACTTCCCATGAAACTGTAGTTCCAGACATTGTTCTCAGGGACGAGGAAATATCCACGAATCCTGTCACTGAGCAGGAGCTGGCACTTGCCACCCATGTTGGTTGAAAAGCCTTGCGGTTGATCGGATGTTGTGTCCTTGTTCTCGGCGCCCCACTTATAGCCTTGAGGAGTGAGAGCCCAGGCCGAAAGCGAAACGGAGCCTGGGGTGAATGAAACAGTCATCGTCACAGTCTTTTTGTCCCATGATGAATGTGCGTTCATTAACCGTGAGTGCTGGGTAACATCCATTGCTGTCATGTATGTCGGTTCGTTGCCGGATAAGGTATGGATGATTCCAAGTGGCTCGAGACCATTCAAGTACTCATGCTGAGGCAGCTGTTGCGGAAGCTGTATATCCCGTGTATTACCAACCTGTGGTATCATGACAATTGTATGGATCTCCTTGACCTGGTCGTTATCTGGAGGGGAGCTTCCATATAGGTACCCGGCAACTTGGACGCGAAGGTCAGAAATCATAATGAACCGTTTCAAGATGTTCTTTGGCATAATGTAGGTGAAATGACCATCTTCCTGGATATCCTCGGAAGATATGTAAATGTTATTTGCTCGTGTGCGTAGGTTGGATGTGGCAATTGCTCGGGTTCGCCATTCTGTCTTGGATGCAAATGATTGCTGCTCGTATTGGGAAGTAGTAGTAACAATGATCTCCTCGCCACGGACGTTTTGAGTCTTGGTTGTAACAGCGGTCAGCTGTTTCTGTTCCTGCTGCTGCTTCTCCATCTCGGCAGCTTGCTGGCGCTGGAGGGATGGTGCACTGATTTCCATACCCAGGATGATATCTCGAACTTCACTTCCTGTAAGACTTTGGACATTGACATTATTTTTCTTTCCGTAGTCATTCAAAATCAGGTCCCGAAGTTGGACTTCAAGTTTTATCCAGTCTTCATCCGACAGTGTCGGCCAGATATGATGCTCCTGCGTAATAACAGTCTTATCGGGTCGCAGAAGGATCTTGGTCTTTTCAATATTCACATGCAAAGCTCGAAGAATCAGAACAAGTCGAGAAAACGCAGTGTATGAAGAGATAGTTTTGAGCCACTCGTCATATAGGTTGAAGAGAACCATCTGCGGCTCTGTGGCCTTTAGAATCATATCAGCGAGCTTTTCAATCTTCATGGCTGCTTGGAATGGGAGCTGCAACTCCGAGGCTCGAATAGAGATGTTCGGGAAATCAAGAAGATGGACCTCAAGGGGATCAAGAAGACCCTTTCTGGTTACAATGAGCTGTTTGGGTTGCTCTTCAACAGGCAATGACCGGATAAGGGCAGCAACTTCTTCGGCAGTCTTCCATTTGGCTAATTGACCCAAACGTTTTTGGCCAGCCCAGACACTGGTATGAATGATCTTTAAGAAAAGTTGGCCAGTTCTTGGATTGAAAATGAAAATTGCACCATTAATCGGCTTCGTCGTCAAGTTTCCTTCAAATGTCTTGTGGATGGTCACGCGGTAGACATTCGTATCATCAATAAATAACTGAATCTGGTTGCTAAACAGCTCAGAGTAGTTTTGAGAGTTTAGGAACTCCTGGTTACTCTCAGAAGCATAGAGTTGTAGACCCTTGCGGATACGCTCTCTCAGGACATACAAAGCAGGGTTAGCTTTCATAATTTTAGCCATGGCCTGTTGGATGAGTGCTTTCAGGCCAGGGAAGTATTGACCGTAAGCTGAATAAAGGTTGTACGCTAGGTCAATACCGATCATCAGACCAGTAGCGGAAGGGTAAATACTCATACTGTCGGTTGTATAATCGAGATATTTGGCGCGTACATAACGTTCAATGTCGTGCGAGTCATAATCTCCGTATCTGAGCTGCACGTCAAGCCAGAACTTGTTGGTGGTAGTTGCTTCAATCACGTCCTTTGTGTCGAATAAAAGGGAGGGCCTTGTCACATTCCATTTATGAGTTGCAAACAAGAGGATGTCAGCGCATGAACTGTTCATCTTGTACGATTTTCGTGGATGGATTGTCTCCTTTTGCACCGTTTCAATACCAAGCTGCTCTAGCTCCTGGTCAAAAACTTGACACAAATCCATAACAACAGACTCGTGGATTTTCTGCCACAAATGCGCTCTGAATATTTGAATCAAGGATATTTTCAAAGTTGGAATTTTGCCATGCAAGAAAATACCAGTGAGATCAAGCTGCACCTGGAAACCAACGTAGACGTTTGCTCGATTTATAGTCGGGGACCACCATAGAGTGAAGCGACGGTTAGGAATTTGGTTCAAACCGGACCGCTGGGCATTTGTCAGCTTCTTAAACTTCATCGACTCTTCGAATCCACTGTTATGAAGCACAAGATAATCATGTCGTAGATATAGCTGATCTTTATCAACTCGGAAACCAGCCCATCCAGTAGTCTCGCGCTCTAGTGTGATGTCCTTGATCATAAAGCTATGAGTCTGGGGAATGACTGGATCCATAGCCGTTTTTCGAGATAGGAGACATGGAATTTCTTTCAAATTGCCAGATATTTCTGCAAATAGCTGAGGGACTTGCATGGCATGAGTAGAATTCCACATCATGCTTCGTGTAGTCGACACACTGAAACCAAGCGAGCGTGCCAATGCGACAGTATCCCAGAACAACGTTGAATTGCATTGTTCACTCTGGCTGAAGCCAAACATGTTCTCCGGGTAGATGAACCATCCATCGCTATCCAATAAACCGGCAAGGACGGCCAGTCGGACAGCACGCGAATTGTTTATGTAAACGGCAGGAATACGCTTACGATCATCCTTCGGGCCAGTTGATCCAGGCTCAGCGACAACGCCAACTCTACGGAGCGCTTGAAGAAGCGAATTAACACCTGGGTTGCCCTGAGACTTTCCGGTGACCTGTTCAAGGAGTTGGTCTTGTTCTTCTTCCTGAAGAGTACCGTAGGCACTAAGGCCGGTCTGAAGACGAACACATTGCTGAGTCCGCGGAAGGTTGCCGTCAAGTTGGCCGTCATCGATCTCACTAGTAGTTCCCAAGATATCTAGATAGCTGTCCAGGTCGCCCTTTTTGACAGCTTCTGGATCTCTAATGAGATCCACAGGTTTGTCATCGGACTGAACTCGGGATGTCACACCTTTGCAGGTGGGATTTTCAGCAGGAGGTTCCCAAATACCAGTCTGGAACGTCCACCCAGCAGCAAGGCGCCGTGAAATGATTGGCTGCCGGGGTGCGCGTTCCCCTGTATTAGTTCTGGCTGCTTCAGCAGCCTGCAACCCTAACTGACCATGTAGATCGAGTTCCGCAGCATGCCTAACGAGGAAGCCTCGAACATCTGCCTCGTGGGAGTAGTCATGAATAGGTGCATTACGGCGTTTTTTATCTCCAAGCCAGAGCCCAAGGAAGTATGGACTACAAGGCACTGATTGTTCTGCGAGATCGAAACCAGGGGAGTTGAAAAGCATGTACTTGCACCTCTCCTCATGCCTCAAAGCGTAAAATTCAGCAGCGGTCATCTCAACGGTTTCATACTGCTCAGGTGTGGGAGCCTCTTGAGAAGCGTGGGCGACAATGAAATCTCCAGAAATATTTTCTAAAGCGTCAATAGTTGTTGCACATTCATCACTCCCACTCTTTTCTTTGTGTAAGACGAGAATGTGGTTTGCTGTAACAACAAGGTCGTCCTTGCGATCCCCAAACTTGATGCGATAGAGCCGATCCTCGCCACTGACTATGTTGAAAGCGCGTCGAGGTCCTCCATCTGGGCCAAGAAGTAGATCACCTTCTTTAACATCTTCGACAGCAACCTGTGAGTGATCATATCGAAGTAGCATCGTACCCTTTGCAAGGCACGCCCGTTCCCAAAAGAGGCCTTCCCAAGATGGGAATGCTGTGGCTTTAAAGAGGGTGTGCTCAAGAATTGTTTCAACACCACCCAAAGCTTGGATAACATCGGTTCTATAGGCATTGAGATTCCATAACTTTCCATCATGTCTTTGACTTGTCCACCAAAATGGATTGCTCTTCATCAGCTGGTATATTTTAAACTCGGTTCTAGCACGGAAACCTTTGTCAAAACTTAGCGTGCTGCGGTCCTTCTGGAAAAGGGTGTTTATTCGGGGAAGTCCACGATCCCAGCTATCCTCCAGATCCTCAAGAGTCAGCCTGCGGTTTTGCTGATTGGCTTCCTGACGCTTCTGAGAGTATTCCATCCATACGCGTTGAGAGTCAATGAACTCAGCCTCCCATGGAATTATATATCTAAAGATATTTGGAATCAAGGTCTCCTCGTCGTGAGACATACCAGCCCGGTAGTGAGTGACGCCGGTGTCTGTCTGCTTTGACCATCGCTTATCACTGGTGGGAATAAGAATGTGTGATCCGGAAATCATACCCAGGCCTCCAAGTTCCTTGGGAGTGTAAAAGACAGCTGGAGGGAAGCGTGATGGCATCTTCGAGTTGAGACCAATCTTGACTCGAGTTTGAATTTTCGTCTCACATTTAACAATAGTGTCCAGCAAGTTGACAGTGGAGACAGCAGCTTCTCTGTAGTAAGTAAAAAGAGCGATCAGACTGGTATTCCATTTGTTGGCGATCTTCGTAAAGGTAGTAGAGCCGGAGGACATGAGGATCTGCCGGATGCGATTATTGAACTTTTGAATATCTTCCTCTGTAACCTGAAGGAATGCATATGCAGTTCGCTCTTTAGTAGTATTGTCTGATAGAGACCACACACTATCCTTAACAGAGAATTCTTCATTTTGGTTACGGATTTTCGGCAGGATACGAACTTCGAAACCACACATAGAAAATAATAGGTTTGGGTTATCCTTGCTATAGACACTTGCAAATGTGTCGTCCCATTCAATAGTCGTGATAGACCGTGGGAGGCGATTCTTCAGGTCCCAGAAAACAGCACGGCCAAGGTTCACATCGTGTCTCATAAGACGCATTCTAGAATCTCTCGGCCAGCATTTTTTATTTCTGTAACCGATAACATTCTCAAAATTTGGGTCAGGCTGCTCTGTCAAGAAACGCTGGATCAAATCACGCGACTCATCTGCGGAGAACCGGAAGAATACCCAAATCTTGTCAATATATCTAGTATAAAGACGAATAGGGTGTTTGCTTTCAGTAGCACGATCCCTGAACTGCAGAAAATCATTTGGACTCTGGGGTGGACCAGCAATTTCACTTGCTCTCTGCAGGCCGAGAAGAAGCAAGTCGATGACCAAGCCGTAGTACTGAAATACGAAGCCAGAGAACTGGAGGCCTCGTATCAAACCGTAACTGTTGGTATGGTTCATGTCCTTGTAGTTAAGTTGGACGTTGTTCTTCGAAGTGATATAATCAGCCAGGTTATGATCCATGATGAGACGGAGAAGACGGTTTAGTAATGTCAGATCAATCTTCTCATATACTTTAGATAGCTGCGTCTCAATCATGACATTGCATTCGCCGTCAGCAGTCTCCCAAACATTGGAAAGATTATTGATGCCTTGGGCCCATTTATATGTCAAGAGAGGTGGTACTTCTGAATCAGATGGCTTGATCCAGGCTGGGAACAAGTGTCGTTGGTCAGCCTGGTACCAGAGATATTGGTCGAGGTAGGCATCTGTGATCTTTTCGATAGGTTCAATGTCGTATACTGGGTTGATGTGGCTGTAGTTATCATTCATGTCAATACCAACTTCTTTGAAAGCTCGTTGAGTAAGAAGGAATCTTTTAATTCTCGCAAGGGTAGTGCCAGGAGAATCATAAGCCTGTTCAATCAGGGCAAGTTCCTCTCGCTGGCTCTGGTTCAAACGACCTTTGACCGAGTAAGCCTCGCGCAATCGTTCAAGGGCTAGGATCAGAATCTTAGTATCATGTTTATATGACACGCTGGGAAAAGGAATTGGCGAAAACTTTCGCGATTCCAGCCAATGAACTGTTGTTGTATAAATAGCAACGGCCTCTTCTGAAGACACATAAGGCCCGTCCTTCATGTAGTTATGCTGTCTTTCCTGTTCAGCTTTGAGCCACAAACGGGTTAATCTTCCAAGATTCTTTTTTGCGACGGTTTTATCAACAGTAGCTCCGCGGCGAATTCGCTCTCTGTTGTAATGAGCAACTGATATCCACCAGTCTGCCTTGCTCTTTACGTAACGTAGGATGATATTTTCAATGGGAGCTGGCAGACCAGGTACTTTCCAGGGAATATTGCTCTTCCAACATCTCCACGCCTCCGACAAATGCTGAAGGACGGTATTAACCTTGTTTTGTTTGATACCTTCTGGCATCATATCCATCAAATCAGCCATGACAGAAGCTCGGAGTTCCAAATCAAAGTGAGATTCAACACGCTGTTTAGTGACAGTCTTGGCAACACCCTTACTATGACGGCCTTCAAATTGCCTTGACAGGAGATTGCCAAGCCACCTCTCGAGGAGTGGAATTATACCGCGAAGGAAGAAGAGCCAGACTCTCCAGGCAGGTGCCCAAAAGCCGCACCCAGGTCCTTTGCCGACTGACCCAGAATTGAACCGGTAGTAAATAAGATGTTTCAAGTCCTTGCATGATCGAATCTGGTGCATGAGTTTGTATTTATATCGGTACATTCCAGTCAATTGACCGACATGGTTGAAAGCATAGAGGATGCCATCCGCAAGCTGAAAAGCGTCAATGTTTCCCAAACGGTATTGAACTTGGGCATCAACAATCAACTTCGTTAAACGGAGAATTTCTCTCATCAAGTGGAAAGCGTTTCCGAACCGAGATTTCTTTCGTTCCTTTGTGGTTAAAGTTTTCACTGGTTTAAGGTTGAAGTTGTAGTCCAAGTGCAAGTAGGTCAAATTCTTTCGATGGATAAGCAAATTCAGCATGTTAAACCCCTGGCGACAAACTTGAAGGCCAGCCTCAACCCAGTCGATAGTAGTTTGTTGAAAGAACTTGGTGCCTTTTAACGTTCTTAAAAGGTTCTGTTTATTCTGAGCCTTGGGTTTCCGCTTATGAAGCTCATTGAGAACATATGTCTTGAGTAGCTTTTGGTAGGATACCCGAACTTTAACTGGCTGGCCCTGAGGGCAATGTTCCAAATACCACTGTTTTACCAGAGGTACGTCTTGTGCACGAACCATTCTTCCAGATCGTCGGTCAAATGGATAAGGAGCCCACCACAAGCTAATGGCAGACGATGTCTCGCTTGTGTATAGCTCCTCATCCGCTAAAAATGGCTCAACAGCCGCTGGGAGCTCAAAGTCATCTTCGTCGTTACTATAGCCAAAGATCTCATCTTCGTGACTGACAGTTATATTCTGTGGCGCAACAGATCGAGAGGATATTGGGTTTATGATAGGATCAAAATAGAATGCTGGAAGATTATGGTCCTCGGTTCTAACATAGACTCCCTGAGGATGAGAATACCAAGAAATTTTCACACTCCTTGGCAAGGAGTTGTAGAGATATGGGAATGCAACTCTGTATTCTGTTCTTATCGGGGCTCGGAATATGATGCGGTCAATCGCATTAAATTCGCCGAAATCTTCATCGTTGGGGTCAATATCTTTGTAAAGAGGTTCGAACCTGGGGCCGCCAGGAATGGCAACATTCAAAGCCTTTGCAGTTAAAAAGCTGTTCAATTCAAACATGTGGAAGTAATTCTTGTCCACAACGTCACTGAGAAGTTGATGGCTTAGCCGGTAGAGAGTAGCCATCTGCGGCAGAGTAAGATTCCATTCCTTGTAGCTTGGTCCGTTGACATGAGGGGTATCGAGTAGAGGTCTATGATCATAAAACCACTCAAAAACGGGACTATCCTCCGCCTCATCAAGCTCCATTTGAATTGGCTCGAGCGGTTCAACGTCCTCGATATTTTCCGACCACGACAGCGGAGGTTCTTCGTCGTCAAAAGGAGGAAATCGCATACGTTTAAAATGTCGTCTGTCACTTTTCTCACGTCGCATACATACCCACATCGCCGCCCATTGTGCATGGAAGACTGGTTCTATAACTCGCGGCGTCTCATTAACCAGGGTCAGACAGCCGTTGACGTGGTAAAGAACCTTGACTTCCCTCGCTGATTCCCAAGGCATAGGCATGTTCTCCAGAAGCTTCAATACGGCATGTGGCATAAACTTCAAAGCTCCAAGATAGCTGCGCTTATCGGTACTGAATTTCTTTTGCGACACGTCGCCAATATCTTTAACAATCTTCCGAAGATGTTCTGGCGGCATATCATCCTTTTGGGACTGAACAAACCCCGCCTTTCTTTTCTCTCCAAAGCGATTGCGCTGGCTCCGGAGCCATTCTTTCTTCTTCTGTTCGAACTTAGCGAGCATCGGGTTTGGCGCCGGTCGATAACCCGGCGGCGGAGGTGCAAGAGGCATCGACGGCGGAGGTGCAGCTCCCCATCCCGGAGGAGGGGGCGGAGGGAGGGACGCCATGACAAGCAGTCAGTCCGCAAGAAGAACTGAAGAAAGATATCTTTCTCCGCTTGAAAGATCGGATTTAAAGGAGTGCTGGGTAGAGATACCTCACACTAGACATGGGGCCTTTTTCTGGCTCTATCCCGGAGACAGAAAAGGTTTTAATACAATAGCAATAGGTGATAAAAAAGGGGAGAGAGAGAATATGACAGACTGATGCAGAGGTATACAGCTTGGAGTGCGGCCAAAACACGTCCGAAGCGTTGTCTTGTCTTCTCTGTCTGTCAGTCGTTCTGTCTTGCTGTCTCGACTTTTTGAGGTTGCTTTGAAAAAAGCTATTGAGGCGCGTTCCGGACCATTCCTTTTTTGGAACGGGAGCTCTATTCTTCCGAAGCGTGATGCTTGTCCCGATTTGGACTAGTGGGCTCTCGCCAAAAGGGGAGCTTTGGTCCCGTGACTAGCCCAACCCACACAAATCGCTTAGTTCGCATTTTTTTTTTTTTGGAAGACGCTCGAAATCTGATATTGACGACAACGAAGAGAAGAGCCGACGTCGCCCAGCTGCCACTCCAGTCTCTCCCCTTTGATCTCGCCAGTTGTTGAGATTGGAAAGCCGACAAGATGACCTCCACAAGACTTCAATATGTAAGTTAACATCTTAAATTTGATTCCTGTTGCTGAAGTAGTTGCTAATGCCCCATGTTCACTGTCTAGCGACGACGGAACCCGTACGTGCCCAACCAAGCGATCTTCTTGCGATTGAAATGGATTTACTGGCGTTCAAATAATTAATACTGTTTTGCGACTAGATACAACACGCGATCTAATAAGGTCCGTGTTATCAAGACCCCAGGCGGCAACCTTCGATACCTTCACATCAAGAAGAAGGCCTCTGCTCCCAAATGTGGTGATTGTGGAATCAAGCTCCCAGGTGTGAGTAATCCCAAATGAGCGACCGGCGAAATGATTTCCGCGAATGCAAATGGTTATTTTACTTTGGATATCAAGGGGATCGTGCTCAGCCGGCAGCTTTTACAACAATATTTTGCGAGGCTCCCAACTGACCTTCTTCTTTGATATATTAAAGATTCCTGCTCTTCGCCCACGTGAATACTCCCAAATCTCCCGCCCAAAGAAGAACGTCACCCGTGCCTATGGTGGTTCCCGCTGTGGAAACTGTGTCAAGGACCGCATCGTCCGCGCTTTCTTGATTGAGGAGCAGAAGATCGTCAAGAAGGTCCTCAAGGAATCACAGGAGAAGGCCGCCACCTCGTCCAAGAAGCGATAGATTACATGTTGTGTATGGGGTTGTGGACGTGTTAAAGGGGATACCAGAGTGATGCAGTGGTACCTGGAATGAACGGGAATCAAGACTCGGTCACAAACGGAGTTTGGGGCAGGAATACCATCTCTGTTATCGGTGGGAGTTCCCAAAATGAAAAGAATATAATCACGAAATGCATTATTGGCCAGTCCTTTCTTAGTGTACGGCAATACTTTTCAAAGCCAGAAGTTCTCCCGCCTACTGTGATGTCGTTTGGGATATTCTCGTCTTTCATCCGTGCTGTCCTCGGAATACAGCAATCGTTAATGACAAGAAATTTCCTAAACCTATCGAATGTCTTGAAATCACTCATGATCAGACAACCACTCGTATACTCTTCACAACGTAGAATTGCGATAGTCTTCATTTTGACGCGCTTTCAGCATAATCAATTGGCATTAAGCCTCAGAACGTATCTGTGCCACCTCCTAGAATCACGAGAAGTCCAATTTGCTCACGGATTGATTGGGTGGTTCGTTCAGATATAATCGCAGGGAATATCTCTGTACGGATTTGATTTCGTCTCATCATTTTGAAGGCACCTGATTTGAACCAGACAAGCTGAATAGAAAGCCAATTTATCTTCGTCCAGCAAATTTGAAAATGGATATAAGGATAATGTATTCTGCACTTATAACTAAAGAGATAGTACCTATCTTAGAATCTTCGTTTCTTCTTTGCTGGGTTGTTTTGGCCCTTATTAGCTGCTTCAAGCTGGCGTCGTAGTTCCTGTCGTTTTCTATCTGCCCTTTCCTCCGGAGACTCTTCTTTATCTGGGATGTTCTCTGCTTTTGTCTCGTCAACAGCACTGGATTTAGGCGGCAACGAAGGTGATTGTTGTGCTGGGCCTTCTCTTGTATCAACTAATCTGCCGGATTCATGGTGGCTACCGTCTTTGGTGTCTTGTAAAATCGCAGTATTGTAGGATGTATTCCTTCCCTCAACATTGGCCAATTTGCTAGAAGCTTTCGATCCCCCAATAATACCAAGCTTACCACCCCGTTTGTGTGGCTTAGCAGTTGCAGTTGATTGCTCACTATGTTCATGTGACAAGTCGGGTTTTTGTTTGCTTGCACTGTTGAAGTGGTCACAGCCTCCCTCTTCTGCTTCAGGACTATCTGTCTTGCCCCAGGAGCTTGCTGCAAGAGCATCCTCTTTCCCGCCCAAACTCCGGCTCAACGATTCCTTCTGTTTCTTGCCGCCAATTCTCCCGATCCTACATAAACGTGGAGCTCCTTGTCTTTCCAGCTGAGCTACCTGGATTGCCGTGTTGGTCCCTTGAGAGTCTCTGTGGTTTTGTTGGGGCAGAGTTTGTCCCTTAGCTCTGTTAGCTCCATTATTATGGACATCGTCATCGTTATCACCACTAACGTCACTTTCCGTTGGTGATGGTGTGGCCTGATCTTCCAACCTGGGCTTTGGGAGTTTGTTAACGACATCATCTGCTCCTGGCACGGCAGGATCAAGTTCCTGTTGACTTAGTAGTGGCCTAGGCTTCTTCCCACCGATAGTCCCAATGCCCTTCAGCTTGTTCTTCTGTCGTGGCGGTGATTCTGGTGCATTGGTAGTAGTTTCCTCAGAATCAGTGCGTGGCTGTATTTTTATTTTCGCATTTGCATTTCCCAAGCTCCCAGGCCTCTGAGAGGAACTTTTATACTTGTTGCTGTGCCGTGTTTGAGAAATTTCTGAGTTAATGTGATGGCCGGTTGTGTCTGGCGAGGGCCTTGTCCCAATTTCTTTGAGTCCTAGGGGGGTTTCTTGAGTCTACCCCTTGAAGTTAGCAATACAGCCACGAGATTATGTAGAACAGGCAGAAATACTTGATTTTCATCATCACTTTCACTCCCGTCATTTTCCGTGTGTCTCTCAAGATTATTTGAAGCTTTTTCTCCAGAGGGGCTGGAGCTATGGGATGTTGTAGGCAGATTCCACCACTCGCTTTCTATGAGCTCCATATTTCGTACATTAAATAGATCATCATCATACAGGTACTTCCCAACTGGTATTGACGTAGATTTCTTCGACACACCGCTGGAATGTATAGTCTCCCAAGAACTCTTGTCAAACGGACTCACTCCTTTCACCAGCTTTGAGGCCTGTGAAAACAGGGAGCCTCTCTTTTGGCCATGCCGAATATTCGCCATTCCGGGAAAAACAGTGCTCAATTCAAGGCCCGATGACTCTATTTTGTCGAAAAGTTTTCCTATTATTTTATCTTTCTCTTCTAAAAGCTCGCAAAGGGATTGTTGCTGAGCCTCAATTCCCAGCCAGCTCCGCAATGTCGGTACTAGCATATGACGTGTTAATGCAGAAGGAGAACATTTGGATAAGACTAATGTCCACTCTAACGGTTCTAAGGGTTTTGGTAGCTTCGTAGTAGTCGACAGTCTCAAACTCGATCCAGCGCCTCGGCCAGAAAGGCACAGCGATGTTCCTTTAGACCCATGCAGCGCATCATTGATTTTTTGTAGTAGCACTGAGTACTGGTCCTCATCCTGACTGGGGTCGATGCTGGTATCGTCTTTCGCGGCGCGATCAATTATTTGCTTATGGCTTAAGCTCTCTGACCAAACATGGCCCAGATCAGTGAGAAAGACTTCATAGCCCTCCGAGCTTGGCTCATAACTGAATAGAAGTGGCGGGTATGAATTGCTATAAAGCGGTAGCCTCTCCCAGTTTCGTGCCATTGTTTAACTAAGTCTTAAAAAAAAAAAAAAAAAGACATTATTCAAGTAAAATTGCTGAAGATTTCTCATAATCGCCTGCTGTACAGGCAGCAGCTGTGGTTGAGCGTACGGGGTAGATGGTTTAAACTTAACTTTAAATGTTCACGAAAGGGAAAGTATGCCGATCTCGGAAAAGCTGCTGTTTTGATCCGGGGTCAGCTTAGTTAACCTAACGTCAAAAAGCGATCATTGAAATCAACACCCAACACAACACATAAGAAAAGCATCCTCAATATCGTCTTCCCTCTCTCATTTTTCTGTTTCCCACAAAATGCCCTCAAATCCTAGAGATCGATATGGTAGTAAGAGACCGAGGTCTCGTTCGCCACCTCCACACGCACCGCCAGAGAAATTGCGACATATCGATAGCCAGCAGTGGTATGCCGGTCGAAGTAGGGGTCAAGGGAGTGCAAATCGAGGCGCTTGGAACTTGAAAGAACAAACACGACTTAACCAATTACAAGAAGATGAAAAAATGCGTGAATGGGTTGCGCAGGAAGACACGTTTGTGCTTAGGCAAGCGAAGAAGAAGGCCGAATTACGAGTTAAAGATGGACGCGCCAAACCTATCGACTGGCTCACCATTACCCTTCGTGTTATTGATCCGACTCGGAACCCATTAGACGACGAAATTGCAGACTCGGAACTAGATTTAGTGGAGCCAGAGGGCGTTTTTGAAGGATTATCAAATGCACAGCTGTCAAGCCTTGAGAAGGACATCGATACTTTCTTGTCTCTTGAGACCAGTGCTGATAATCGTGACTATTGGAAGGTAAATCACATCATACGAGAAATCTGCACTTCGCTGTCTTACTGATCTTTATCTAGACTATGAAAGTAATATGTCAGGATCAGATCCGAAAGGCAGAATCCTCAGCCCCAGAAAAACGTGCGGTTACCTCAGTCGCCGCTGATATTGATAGATTACTCGGTCCAAAAACATATGATGAGCTTGTCACGCTAGAAAAGCAAATACGCCGGAAGTTGGATTCTAATGAGCCGATTGATACTGATTATTGGGAACAGCTCTTGAAGAGCCTTTCAGTATGGAAGGCGCGTGCGAAGTTAAAGCGAGTTTATAGTGCTGTTATCGAAAACCGCGTTGATGAGTTGCGGAAGCAACAGCGTGAGGAGGCTGAGAGTGTTCAGAAAAAACTTGCCCCTTTAGCTCCATATAAGGGTACTCGAACCTCGCAGCAGGAACTTGAACAGATGACCCTGCTCGACCCCGAGCCTCTTCTACAACTTCGCAGCCAAGATAAAAATTTAGAGGTTATGGATGAAGAAGAGTTGCTGAGCCATATAGTATGTTCATCTTACCCCCATAGCTATTCTCTCCTGCATTGTGACTAACTGCATCTAGGCCCAAGAAAGGAGGAAAATCATCAAAATGGGGTTTGTCCCGCTACGCAACCGCTTGACTGAGAAACAAGCCCCTTCATCTATGGTCACATCAGAATCTCCTGCCATTACATCTTCTGCTCCACGCTTTCTTCCAACGACAAACGATGATTTCTCCCAGGCCACAAAAGCCTTATACGAAAGGGAAGTGGCACGAGGAGTTAGCGAAAATGAGGAGATATTTGCTGGAGAAGAGACTATCAGCACATCTAAACCGAGTTGGGCGAATAAGTATAGGCCACGAAAGCCACGATACTTCAACCGTGTGCAGATGGGATATGAATGGAACAAATATAACCAAACCCATTATGACTATGATGACCCTCCCCCAAAAGTTGTGCAGGGGTACAAATTCAACATCTTCTATCCGGATCTTATTGACAAGGCAAAAGCCCCCACCTATCGCATCGAAAGAGAACATGGTAGGAAACGAGGGCAGTCTTTTGCTCCCGCCGGAGAAGAAGACACATGTCTACTCCGCTTCATTGCCGGTCCACCTTATGAAGATTTGGCCTTCCGTATCGTAGACAAGGAGTGGGACTACAGTGCAAAGCGAGAACGTGGGTTTAGGAGCACGTTTGATAAAGTATGTACTAGTTTCGATTCTATGTGGCTCAAACATTGCCATGCATGGGTGGCCTCAGCTAATTACTATCCAGGGCATTTTGCAACTTCATTTCCAATTTAAGAAGGTAGGTGTCATATCATATTATGTTTCCACGCTTGCGACTACACGGGCTAACACTTATCACAGATATACTATCGTAAATGATGTTGAAATAAACATGATTTATAGTCGGCTTTTACACCTGCATCACATGGTGCGAACGAATGCCGTATGCTCTACGATAGCATCCTGGATTTCACAAGTTAAGGTGACGCTCGTGGCACTTGGGCGTCTTCTTGTATTTCTTCACGTTTAAGAATTGTTCCGAGGGGAATTTTGCTCCATAGGAACAGCAGCACACCTATTGCCCAAATGATGTCTACTTATAGTCAGCCTATTACTGCCAACGCCAGGCTAGTCGGTTAAATATGACCACTCCGCAGGGAAGTTTGTTGCAAGATTGCATTTGACGTATCCTTTGTACTCAAGGTGGTTAGGGTGGTAATTTCCAAGGCCGTGTTATTTGGTCATCCTATTGGATATGCATCTGGAGATCTACAATAATTTTAATTGGAGGTTTACAGCCGCCTCACCGGACCTTGCGCTGTGAGACCTTCCAGAAGACCCTATCCGGTGCTTTTTCCTGAAACCCAGCCACCTTGAGCTAGACCGTTCTGCGGGATGTAACTCATGACAGGTTAATGTTCTCCTGCAGCTCCCCGTCTGTGCCCAACGAGCATGACAAGGTTTGAAGCTAGTCTGCTTGACACATTTCCCCAACCTGCTCCCCGTCCCGTCAGGCTACCGCTGTAGAACTTGGAGTTCTCTAGCATCCTTGGTCAATAATCGGTTTTGTATACCTCCAAAAGATTGCTGTTCCACAAAGGCATTCTTTTTCAGGCAGGGCAATATTTCAGCATACAAAAGCCCTCTCATTCAACCATCATTTTTGCTGCTTTGTTTGCTCATTTTCGACAGGAGTTATACGGGTTGTCTGCAGCAATCGTGTCGCGCAGGTGAGCTGGCATGTTCTCCCACAGGACTCAGCCATTTTGCAGGACAATATATGAAATTTGCCTAGAGAAGCCCCAGTTACTTCCTTATTTCTCCATACCCTTGTCTCACGAATCGTCTCCTGGAAAGCCGGCCTCAACCTAGTCCTTGAGATCTTCTGTCTCCACAAATCTTAACGCTGTCTTAAACATATTGGATGGAGCTCGTTTCTCCAAATCTTGAGGAAAGTTGAGAAGATATGGACGATGACACGGGCATTCTCTGCCCTTCAATCTGTACGCAGATGCATCATAGCAATTCCCCTCCGTTTTCCACTCCGCAGGGTGGTGAGATGTCTCAAAGTCAATGCGCTCCAGGCTCTGCTGCCACCTCGCTACATCAACACAGGCGTGTTATCTCTCATCCTTCAATACTGCAACAGATGCTTGATCCAAGTCTTTTTGGAGACACTCTCCAGCAACAACGGCAACTTTCATCCATGACACACAGCCATGGAAGTTGGGGCTCGGCTATGGAACCAAATACTTTTTGCAGCACGGACGCAATGGCGTATGATATTGTGGAGAATAAGGGAAACATACTATCTTGGGAAGACGAAACTCCCGGGTCTACCGAGCTGGAACTTGACCTGTTCGCCGCGACTTATCCTCTGTTTGATGAATTCCGCGAACTCGAATGCCTCGGATACCAGACCTCCAGGCAACCAAACACATCCACAAGCTCGCAGAGAAGTTGCAGCCAGATATATGATAATCATTATCCAAATTCGGTATCTACTTGTTCTCGACCGTCGTTTGATAGCTCGACCTCTCGGCCGGAAAGCGCAATTTACCCCCCTCTCTCGCCTGAGAACTCTGTTGGCTCTAACTCTCCGATTGACTTCCATCTGCTCTATGGCGCTGACTCGCTTGTACGTTCTGTACCCGAGGCCGGGAACTTGGCATCCGAAGATGAGACAGACGATGACAGTGTCTCATCCGAAGAACCCTACGCAAGATTGATTTGGAGAGCACTCATGTCTGCCCCTGGTCATAAGATGGTTTTGAAGGAGATATACGAGTGGTTTGAAAAGAACACTAGCAAAGCCAAAAACTCTGACTCTAAAGGATGGCAGAATAGTATTCGACATAATCTGTCTATGAATGCGGTAAGATACTGAGGCATACTCATAATCTTTTCATAAGCATTCCTACTCACTTCACTAGGCATTCGAAGGTGTCAAAGAAGTTTTATCACCTGGGGCGCAAACCCGAAAATCTGGTAACGCTTGGGTCCTCACTGAACGTGCTATCAGGCATGGAGTACAGTCCACAACCCGTTACCGCAAACCAGGAGTCCACAAGAAATCCCAAAAATCAGATCATCCAGCCCCTCAGAGGCAAAAATCAGGAGCTAGGGGAGGTCGTGCCGCCAAAAAAGCCGCCAAATACAGACGAGCCATTCAAGAGTCTCAAAGACTTGACCGAAACTCTCAAAATGCGCCTCCTTCTGATATACCCTTCAATCAACACGGCATACTTGCTCAAACGGCGAGCTGCGTTGAGTATGGGCCTGCAGAACCAGTGAATAACTACGTGTTGAGCGACTACGGGCTTGAAAACCTTTTGGGTTGTAATGAGCTTATACCACGATCACCGTTATTTTACCCCGACTTGGATCTGGATGAGAACCAACAACCCTCTGGGGCTACTGTCTTAGGAGGCCAGCCGATCGGTCGAGATTTTAATTCCCTACTGCAGTAAACTTTGATATTTCGTTTGTGGATACACACTTCTCCAACTCGATGGATACACATTCGTCCTATTCCCATTACTTTCTTTTCCCCAGCCGTTGCTTTGAACATTGCGCTGGGGCACCAGTGTGCCGTGCCCTGTTTTGCTTTTTCTTCCCATTTCGTTTACTTTTTCAGAGCCAAATCCCTTGGACGAGCTCTTCTTCGTTCGGATTTTTCTTTCTTTTCTTTCTCTCTCCTCCTCTTTAACTGGGACCCATAGGCACTGCTGGCGTATGGGGTTTATTATTGAGTGACTTTCGGCTTCTTTTACGGTTTCGGTTTCCACCCATTTTTGAGCCGGCGAGCTTCATGTGGGGGTATTTCCTTGGGTGCATGAGGTGGGCATGTACACGGCTGGTTCCCCGTTCGACATATGTACATTAGCTGCAGTAAGAGGTCATTCATCTGGTAATTAAATAGTCGCTATCTGGACCAGGCATGGTTTTGTTTGGGGGGGGGGGGTGATACGCCGTACTTAGAGGGCTAATAAATCAACGAAAATATGGCATCAAAATCAGCCGCCCCCATGCGCTCTCTTCTCATGTTCAGTCATAGCCAGTGTTTCGGTGCACAAGCGATCAGACCCTTTCACCGGGCCAATGATACTAACAATATAAGCCAGGCTCTGCGCTAAGGACGTCCGTTTCTCCTTTACTCCGTTCTCTACTCCGCATTACAACCACCATCCTCGTCTAAGAGATACGAAGTACTCCGTACGTTGAGAGCAAGAATCTGCTAATCTAGCCTCTGCATTATTAGTTCACAGCAATTAAAAAGAAAAGAAAGGGAGGGAGAAACGGGGGTGAGGGACCTGGCGTCTTTGCTATTAAGGTCGATTAGCTATATGCGCGTTTGGGTCAGGTTGCCATTCTCCTCTTGAACTGCATCCCGTAGTATGCATTTTTTTTTTTTTTTTTTTTTTTTGGCTTGACGAAATATGGAATTCAGGTCTCACATTCTTTCCGTATAGCCGCACCACGAAGCGTGGTACAGAGTACGGAGAATGCACCCTAGCATTCTCCGTACTCTGTACCATATGTGCAATCTCCATAAACCGGTGAGTGCTGGCCCATGTGCAGTAGTATCTTCGCCCTTGAGAGACCGTACGAAGGGTCACGTTTAGGCACCGTTGAAAGTTTACTCTGCTCTCGACTATAACCTAGGTATATCAGAGACACGTACTCCGTAGTAGAACTGTAATCGAGGTTGGCTAATAATACCAGACGGTGGCCTCGTCGTTGAAGATGACGTGTCCAAAAAGCAGCTCCTGTGTCGACTTGACCGTGGCTGGCTTTTCCAGAGTTGATATTCTACGTATTCAACCCCGTCCAAGGCACACCAGGCGGTCAAATTGATTCCAGGACGCAGCACGCAGCACGGCGGTTGATCGTATCTAAGTGGACGCCCATTACTCTGTACGGGGGTACCCGTCAGTTGGAAAAATCATGTATTTGCTTTTTGATGGCGGAAAAGGAGCCCGCCGCTGTCACTTTCATTTCCTACGGGATGAGGATGACTCTTGCTAAGCCAGCTAGTTAGCTCACTATAGAATAACAAAGCATGACGTTGGCATTCGAAGCCAACCGGAGACTGCGGCGCCGTGCCACACGCTTAGCGGTTCGATAATTGGAACTGATGGCTTTGTTCAACCGATGTGGAAGTGATGCATCCTGCAGACACGCAAAGGGAGGATGTCAATGAATCTCTGGGTTCTCTGCTCGATGCAAGTCACCATCGCTATAATTGCAGCGCCATGCAGAATAATCTTACCTGGCAGCCATAACTCACGTAACAATTACAAAGGAGACTGCCGAGCATTCATCCACGCCGTCTCTTCGTCCAACATTCACCCTGTGCCGTCCTTGTGTTCAAAACCGGATCGGATCTCTGAGCCCGCTGTACCCATACAGCGTATGCCCTCCGAGACTGGTATCTATCCGCTGTACGACATCTGGAGGCTGCAAACGTTTATACTAATACATAACCATTCCCCCTCCTTAGGCTCCGGCACATCTCCCTAGGAATATGCAGGGAATACTCTGACCCTGTTCCTCGGAGATCTGAGTTCCCTCTAGGATATCATTATTTACGCCTTGCAGACCACAGCGGGATGCTGGATGATCAGCCGAAAAGCCAATTGAACATGCACGGGCTCTCCCCATGCTGCTGCGAGAATGAGCTCCTTGTCATTATTACTCAAGGGTTAACTAGTTATCAGCACAGGGAGGAGTGGCAACTGGTGAATATTTTCTATGAAGATCCTTGAACAAAGTTCCGGAACTCTCGATCCCCGTCCTGGACATGGTGATATTACACCTATATTTATCATTGACTATTAATCCTCGGAGGCATTGAATAAATTTGAGTGATACCATTTGACATTCAAAGGCTCTGATGCACATGCAGATATTGAACCTCGCTTCATTCATCGTCTTTGCCGAGAGGTTGCCTTCCTGCGTGTTACCCATTTATATATTCATTCGTGGCCGGAGTAGTCAACCCTGAGCGCAGGATTACTCCATGGCAGAAATGATCTATTATTAGACAGTATGCCACGAAAACTAAACTGGTGTCCTGCTTTCTTCTATGCTCTTCAGCCGAGGCAACGAGTCAAATAAAGGCAGGCTAAGCGGACGATCGAGATTTCCTTGAATATACGCATGAAGCTGCAGAAGCATATAGGACACAAAGACTCTTAATAGGCTGGCTAAGGCCGTGAGAGGTCCATGAGACTCTTGTTTGAGTCATGCATACAGTAAACACTTGAATCCAGCCATCCATTGCGTTCGATGCATATTCTAGATCCCTCGACCCTAGAAGTGTTAAACTATGCAGGATTTAAACCCTTGACTATTACTGACTCTCCGAGATTTTATCTCTGGACATTCTCCGTAGAATTTCTAGATTCCAGATTTTCGTAGACCTGGTGTCACACTGATTATGGCTTCTTTGATAGAGCGTAAACTAAAACAGTCATTCTATAGGTTGGGACAAGCATAATTCAACACTGTAAGCCGTGACTTTATAGCATTGCTGCACCCTTTCAAAATCAAAACCACTCTATAGAGATTAAGACTAGCTAGATTGTGGATAAAGTTAACCAGAAGGGAGACTCTACTCGCTATAGTTACTCTCCTATATGTAAACCAGAATATGAAGCGAGGAGTTAACTAAAGAAAGCTACCCAACTAATGCAAAATATTTGAAACCAGATATCAAATTTGCACAAAACTAAGCCTCTAGGCTTTACTTACCAGAATAGTATAAACCTGTGGCAAGTAAAGGTTATTAATACAAATTCTTGTGGTCGACTAGTTATTAAGATAGTTATATTTGTCGCTGAAAAAGGTTGGGGAAAGACATCCATGATTGAAATGGCTAAATTAAATTCTAAATCAAAGAATAACTCATCACACATGGCACTAGTTACTCCAGATTGCTACCAATATATACTCAATGCTGATGGATCATGAGCCATAAGGTTAGATAGAGACTAACATTACAAATTGGTTAAGCAACAGCCATGGTTCTAGATAGAGGAGATGAAGTATAGCAACACCAGAAGGATTAGAGCCGTAGACTTTACATAAGAGTTATCTGGCATCTATGCCTAGTGCTGAACAATGTTTAAACGCCCCTATTGATTGTTTACATCAAAGTCACTTGGAAATGGATGTGGTTGAATTTGACCCTCCCCACAAGGGAGCAACCTTAAATGCGATTGGGCCTCAACGACCCGACGGCGGAACCTTTGGCTGGCATTTTATTTTTCCAGGCCGACTGCTTAACTTCCATCCAACCTTGGAATCCATATTAGGTATCCATCAATAACTACTGGAACCGTGCCTACATGCCTAGGTAGGCCGTCCAAAGTTGAGATCCAGTAAAGTCCACGCAAGCTATCGATATTCCTTTAAAACAGGCTAAAATTATCATATGTGGACAAAAGGGTGTAGAGGACTAGTACGATGTTGGACTATGAACCTGCCAATAACCATAATACCCAGGATGATCATTATATCCATTAGGTATGTAAATGAGAAATGACCGTCACATCTATCCTCGTAGATGCGCATCCACTCAAAAGGGCAAAGCTAATAATACTGGAGCTTTTAGCTCTCCTTTCTTTCGGTGTCTTGTTCACCAGGTGCAACAAGTCTGACTTTCTTTGGAGATATAACGGCCGAAGGCACTAAACCACCAGAAGAAGGTCCAGCGGTACTTCCTTGGACTGCGGCAGGTCCAGCCTCCACAGTACTAGGAACTCCCCCGCCAAGGATGCCTCTAACCCTTTCAACAGCTCTGCTTTCGCCAGCTGTCCATGAATCTCTCTTGATGAACGTTGAGCTCGGCTTGCGACCATAGAAGGCATTTCGCGACCTTTTGCTAGCTTCCTGTTGGGCAAGGCGGTTCTGCTCTCGTCGAGGGCCGGGCCCACAGTCATGGAAGCATCCAGGAGTGGGACAGCCACCTTCGCTAAGTGATATATCTATTAGCCACGCAGTTAAACAAGCTGTATGGGCTCCGTGTCCGCATGTCTGGCACCATGACCAAAGGCCTGAGCCGTATAATCGAGATCCAGGTTGTTCCTGTTGTTGATATATTAAGCCATCTTCAAGCGGGCTAATGCTCGTATAAGAACCATCGGTTAGGTTGGTATTAGTTCGTGGGCCATGGTTGGTTTCGGTCACCCAATCTGCAGGGGGTTTACGACTGACGCAAATTGTACATGGGGGTTGAGGTGTGTTGCATCGATGACATAGCTTATTGTCTTGGATTGGATTTTCATAGGGTTTGTTGCATTCAAAACAAAACACGTTAATGAATGTATCCTTTTGGGCATAGTCATAGAGAGCTGGATATGACGGAACACAGACAAGTCGAAATTCAGCGGCTTCAACAAACATGCCCTGCCGGAGAAGCTGTTCATTGAAGGTTTTGAATATTAGCTCCCGCTCTTCCTGGGGTAGAAGCTCGTCACAAGAGCTGTAGAGAATGTGCATCTTATGAAGAAGGTGAGACGCAGAGAGTATGTCAACAGATGCACTACTACAGTAGTGTTTTATTATTTCTCTTACGATTGTTTGAACACCCCAGGGTGTGTCTGACGTAGACTTTGGACAGAGTGGGAGGGTAACAGACGTTTCTGCCGGCAGAGAATGGTTCCGTGTATTAGGCGGGGTTTTAAACCGTGCTGGAGGACGAGAATACCCAACCCGCGAAGGCTTTCTTATGGGAGATGACTCTGCCAGGAAAGGTAGCGGGCTGACAGGCCTTTCAAGGTCAACGGTCGCAGATTGTGTAGGCAAATCTTCTATTGACATGTCACTCATTGAGTCGCTGTGGTTTTCCCATCTCCCAGGCCTAGGAGGAGAGCTCCCTTCCAGCTCGGGTATATCATGTAGCGACCCTTCAGTTGTCGGTGGCCAGCCTTCATAACGCGAAGGCTCGTTTGTGAGTGAAGAAGATGCCTCATCAAAGGACTTTGTGCGGTGGGAGCTATCCGAAGCTGAAAACATAGGAAAACTCTCACCGGAGTCGTGGCGTTTGTATGTAACGGGAATAGAAGGTCTCTCCTGTGCCGCACGCTCCATTGATAACAAGCGTTTGCGAAAGACTTGATGGGTCTGTGGCGCCACGATGTCGCCATTTTCCTTTTTATTGACTCCCTTGTCTTCTTCGCCTTCATCTTTAATGGCCGATTCATCACCAGTGGGTTTAGGGTGAGGTTTCTCATCACGCCTCCATTCCGCCCTACCAGATATAGCTCGAGGAGCTGATCTTGTCTGGTCTGGAATCGCTTCTTCACCGTTGGGTTGAGTTGAGCGCTTGTTTGTCGGAGTTTTCATTCCATTGGTATCTTGAAGCCAAGCAGCTTCGGCATTATCAAGGCCTAGGCCAGCCACGCTCGCCTGCGCCTGTTTGCTTAGTACCTCATCACTTGATAAAATCAGTGATGGGATCGGCCTTAGTTGCCCAAGTTCTTCATTTAAGCCTGTATCTGGTACCTGCCCGCTAGCTATAGCAGCAGCAATTGATGAATCGGGAATGGGTCGCGCAAGGGGAGTTGTAGCACCAGAATTTGGCTCTGGACTTAGTGTCATAAGTCTTTGAGAATCTCCATCCACGACACCTTTGAAGATTCGAGTCTTGGACTTCTCAGAAACAGTTGGATCAAGCTTTATTATATTAGTGCTACTACCACGGCTACCAATTTTAGGTGCAGCCTTGGAGATACTGTTTTGTTTCAACTCAAGTTGACGCTGCTTGTGCTGAGTTAGTAGTTCCTGTGAAATGGCATACCTTACAATTCGCCAAGTCTGCGCCAACCGGCCGAAGCGTACTGCTGCAGCTTGTAGGGTATTCTCGTCTAACCCATCTAGAAGGTGTTTAACGACTTCAACTGACATATTCCGTTCGTTGAGCGGGTCTGCCAGTAGTGGCGAATAATGATGCACTAGATAATGGAAGGCATCTGGGTTGAATGTTGTTCCCTCAACACGTCCTATCATGCCGTCTTGTTGATTGGTAATATCTTTCATATTACCGACTGACTTGACAAGTGGGATGACCTGTAGTTCATCATCTTGCATAGGTGGGGTAGCACTAAGGGATTTAGAGCTTCTGGCTGATGATAACTTGGTTGAACGTTTTCGGATTCCAACCACTTGAGATCCGTCATCGGGAGCCTCGTCGGTGAGACTGTGGCTAGCAGTGTGTAGCTTGTCCTCGCCCTCTTTAGCCCTTCGTTGAGAAGGCACAGGGACAGATTCAACGGTTTCTGTATTGCTGTAGTTATAACTCTGCTTGTGTCTTCTTCGACGTGGTTCGAAAAATGCGAGAACTTTGCCATCAGGGCTCCATGTTACCGCACATGGAGCTCTTCGCTCTATAGCTTCAGGGGCTAAGCTGATATCAGTCTGCATGAATATACCCTCCGAAGTCACCGTCCATAGATAATCTTGGGAATGCCATAATAGGTCAGTAGCCGAGTTGGCATAACGGTCAATCTCCTTGTACGGAATGTGTGGCCTTCTAAAGTCCCAGATGTGGATACGGGGGTCTTCCTGATCGTATGACGTAACAATCTGAGTAGATTCCCAGCTGGCGGTCTCATAATCATGGCCTGTCAAGGACGGTGGTCGCCAGCGCGCATTTGAAACAGCCTGCGGCGTCCTGAGTTGGAGGCATGGTTTTTGTCTTCGGTCAGTCGAAGAGAAGTTCCACACTTTTACTTGGCGGTCCACACTGCCGCTGAGAAGATGCCTGCCATCAGGGTGCCAGTCTACAGAAGAACAGGCTTTTTCATGGGCATTTATCCGTATAACAGGAACATTGTCCTTACGAATGTCCCATTTTTGAATAACACCACTGTCTGTAGCTGTGGCAAACTCTACGGGCTCAGCAGGGGACCACCTGATATCACGTACTGCCTCGCTGTGGCCATTGAACACGCTTGTACTCCCAATATGCATGGCAGCTCTATCACTGGACACCGTGCGTAAATCCCATAGTCGCACGGTGGCATCTTGGCTTCCAGAAAGTAACCAGGCCCCACGATATGGGCTGAAGGCGAGTCGATGGACCTGGCGTGAATGCTCATGGAACCGGCTATACTCCACGCCAGGGCGGCTCAGGTCATAAACAACAATACGTCCATTGCTTGTTGCTGCAGCGATGATTCGGTTATACTCCGAATGAGACCACTTGACGTCCTTGGTAGCTAGGTGTTCTTTGTTTTTGGTGGACGGTCCAGAAGGGTGGTGGCTGGAGGAGTGGCCGATGACAGCGGACCGGATATTTGTCTCTTCAACACATTGTGAAGACGTGACGCGTATTGTCTTAAGGATTTCCCTTCCGGCGACGACAGCATGAGTGCGCTGTGGAGAGATGTCAACAGCCGATATTGGGATTCCTGTCTTATGCGTGATTATCGGGGCGCTGCCAGGACTAAAAATAGAATACCATATCGTAAGATTGCTGTTTGTATTTCTCAAAAGCATCAAAAATGATCTGCTGCGCCCTTGACGGACAGATTGTTCGCATTCTAAGACACCAGAACTTACGGAGAAATGGTATAACTGGGTCTAGTCACCAGGGCTGGAGGTGGTGTTGGGACTGGCAGTGGAGAAGTAGGCTGTGGGCTTGGAGGCCTGGAACCATAAATGAATGGGTGAGCGAGCCGCGCAAGAGCACTGGTAGCTCTGTTTGAATAGCGCTGGGGTGGTAAGGGAGGTGCCGGGGGAGGCGGAGGAGGTAGCGGCGGCGGCGGTGGTGGAGGGGGAGCAGCACCAGCAGAGACACCTGGAGTTGCTATGCCTGAGCTGTGGCCGCGCGGTGAATCGGCCATTGTGGTGTGAAGCAAGACGAGAGATCAGATCGGCCCCGCTCGATCTGCTGACGTCTGGTGATCCATCGCCTGCTCGCCTCGAGACAAGGTGGTGGCCAGGGATCGTGATCTCTTGTTCTTGGGCCGTGACCATGAATCGCGAAGTGCCTCTCGATGTCTCTTTTTGCTTCTTCTCGGGTGTTAAGAGTCATCACGTGATATATTTTAAGGTTCACAGCCGCATGTCAGCAACATCGACGCTCCGTGCATGGGATGTATGGAGATAACCTGCGTGTTGTCCGAGTCGGTGGACATCGACCATGGTAGTATACAATATTGCGTGACGGCATGGGGCTTCGACGCTGCGCCCCCCTCTCGGCGACTGTTTGACAAATGGGATCTTTAGCATTCGCTGGGCGCGGGTTGCAAAGAGGCTCTGCGATTGGATCTTAATATGGAGTTATTGGACAAGGGAGATACCCAGCGGTTCAAACTGAAATATTGCTGTTCATGGCACCTGTAGAGCAGCTGCGGAGGGTATTACGGAAGATATTGCGGAGCCGGGGCCAATAACACTTATCATCCCCGCTCATGGCCGTTTGGAAGATAGAGGAAGACTCAAAGACGTCTTTGAATGCCGCTATTGGAGTGAGCTGAGAGGGATGTCTACCATGTTTGAAAGTAAAAAAGGTGTTTCCACTGGAGAATCATGCTTACTTTGGATGCTACCGGATCGAGATACGCTCATGTTCAACAGGCCTGGTAATATCCTTCCATTCTAGTATGGGAGCCATCGTACTGGAGAAGCTCCCTTACAGCCATAGGAGTTCCACCTACCCCGAAGGGCCGAAATCTCACGAAGGGCTGGACGAGATTTAGCCCACCTAGCCTGGGTAGTAGGTTACGCGCTTCCGTTCTACTTCTTTGGTTAGCCAACTGTCCGTTGGACTACTGTTGTTCAGGGAGCTCTTTGTAAATATTTACCTTGGGCTCGGGTCGGAGATATCTGAGACACTGCTACACTTGTGCTCAGTGTAAACTTTCTAGATCGACTGACTGGAGGTCCTCTTTAACTATATTATGAAGAATTTCAAGCCGGAGACTACCGCCTCTGGGCTGAGAGTCTGAGAATATGCAAAGTGGCTTTCTACAATATTGGGCCATATGTTCAGCATGCCCGCTTGAGGATGCTGTAGACTTGTATACAGATAAATTACATACCAAAGAAAAACATACCAATTGCTCTAGGATGAGGTTGAATGTTTCCTTAATGGGCCCGAAACTCTCATCAATCACATGACCAGGTAAAATTTGACGGCCAGCGAAGGATTGAAGCAAAAGAGAGACGAGAGACAGAGCATCGAGAGCTTGGGAAAGTTGCTGGAGAAGCTAATGCTCCGAATCTCGCCTGCAGGGCAATCCGAGGGAAAGACGGGCTCGCTTAGGCTGGGCCGTAGAAGAGGCACCCGTTTGAGCCTGTTACAAGAGACGGAAAGCTAGAGGAACGGCGGTGACTGCTGTGGGAAGCCGTCGGAGGTTGATGACATGGCATGGATGGTATGGCCAGCGACGGTTCCGCGGCGCGGATGACGGCAAGGAAAGCTAGTGCAATCAATTGCCTGCTGCATTGCATTTTATTCTAGGTTGGTAGACAGAGCTAAGTAAGTAGTACCTAATGCGTCGTTGTGTTTGGCGGCAACGGCCCGCCAGGGGGAAAGCGGATGGTCGTTAACTAGGGAAAAAGCGAGCACAGAGTTAAGCAACTAGCTAACTCGTTACTGTTTTATCAAGATAAAGGTTCGTATCGACCGTGGGGGACGGAAGAGATACAGCCGAGAGAGGGGGGGAATGTTATATGTTATTAAATCCCTTCAGGGGGTGAGGCGGTAATCGCTTGCTGGTAGGTTCAATACCTGCCTATGCAAATATCCTGTAGGTTCTGACAAGCGGCAAGGGACAGAGCAAGCCAACGACTAGCCCATCCCAGTTTTCCCGATTCCCGCGAGACCAGAAGAAGATGGAAGACCAAAGATCCCATGCCCATGGCCACGCTACTGGTTTCAGAAGACAGATCTTGCATGGCCATGAGCCGTTGGTTGAGAGATCGAGCCGGCCGGCACCAAAATATAACATCCGGGAGGACAAGAAAGATGCCCAGGATACCAGTTCAAGTTTGAGGTACAAAAAAAAAAAAAAAAAAAAAAAAAAAAAAAAAAAAAAGGAAGCAAAGAAAAAGCAAAAAAAGAGCAATCGGAGCAGAAGCAAAAAAAAAAAAAAAGAGTCTACTTGGAAGAAAAAGCAAGACTCCCCTGTCATCACATGTGGCAGAAGATGAAGCGTGAAAAGAAAAGAAAAGGGCAGAAGACGAAGAGCCCTGGGTGTCCACGGGGGAATCTGGTCAGCCGTTCACGTCCGCAACCAACCACACCTAAGGGACTCGTTATTGTTAGTGAGTTACGTTCGGTTCTTGATAACAAAAAAAAAAAAAAAAAAATTGGAGCTGTCCTTTTGTCCTTGGTCTTGGGTACAGCAACTTTTGGTGTGCAGCAAGCGCCATCGCTCTCTCTATCACATCGCATGCAGCTAAAATAAAATGGCGGAGAAGCAGAGGAAAGCGATGGCCCAGACCATGCAGGAGGAAGAAGAAATGGTCAGTACAGCCCATACTTTCTTGCATACGAACCACCGCCGGGGGCAGGGTACTGGGTACCGGGGACTTGGGGGCGGTGGCAGCAGGGGGGAGGTATCAGATACCTACCCCTGATTATAGGAAAACGGGTTAAAGCTCATGCTAAGTTTTTCTTCTTAGCATCCCAGGGAGTTCGCAGTGGGAGGAAAGTATATATCATCGGATGTACATGCTGATGTACCCGGATAGCTTGGGTGCTGAAATTTTTAGGTACATATAGAAGTGTACTGTATATATGTATGCACGTATGTACATGGTCCGGCTGCGCGCAGGGAAAAGAAAGGAAAGGAAGACGAGGGGGAAAAAGAAAGGACGGAGCTTCACCGCCAGAGATGAGATGGATGTACTGCTTCTTCTTCTTCACCGCTTGAGGAGGGAGATGGGCTGTTGTAGGCGGGCAGAGCCTGTAGTGAGTAGCTAAGGAGGAGGAGATGCTCGCTGGCAGGGGAGGGCGCAGAGGCAGCGCACCCCGAGGGTAAAGCCGGAGCTCACTAACGACTCTGACTAGCCGTAGCATCAATCTAAGCTGGTCCTTACAAGAAGCTAGGCCACTGTAGGGCGAGTTGAGTGAGTAGTAGAGATACGATGCGCTATACATAGACGTAGACAGAGAAAGAGAGAGAGAGAGATAGGACCTTGCCACCCCGAGGCAGCCTTCGTCCCTTTGAGCACGCAGTCTGAGCTAGTCAAGTGTAGCTAGCTAGTCGAGGCAGTCGACGGCCAGGCTAAGAGAACGTATGTATGTCCCCGTGGCCAGCGTCGAGAGGCGATCGTCTTTCTCGCTCGACGATAGTTAAGACGACCAGGGCAGCCGCTTTCGCTTTCGCCTCTTCTCAACGCTTTTCCCTCCGCCTCCGCTGCCTCCGCTGCTTATAACCAACTAGCGAGCTGCTCTGTCGACACTCGCTCTCTCTTTCAGCTCGCTCACTGCAGTCGCCGGCGTCACCGTCACACTCGCCGGGCCTATCAGCAGCTCCGGGTCTGTCGCATCTTTGTCTCTTGCTGCCGGCTGCTGGCCGTCCACCGAGTGACCTTTGCCTGTCTGTGCCTTATTATAAGTGACGTCGAGGTTCGCGGCATCTCTTATTTGCTGCCTTTGTTCCGCCGGCCTTCTCTTCGGCCCTGTGTGGTACCTTGCTTCTCGCCATCTCGCCGTCTTCAGTCTTCTTCTTCTTCTTCTCTTCTTCTTTTCCTTCTCACGGCCGTCTTCCTCTGTCTGGCTTTTGCAGCTTGTAAGCTTCTCTCTCTCTCCGTCCCTCATCGCAAAAAAAGAATAACATCCCCCCCCCGTCCCTCTCCCTCTCCACCCCCCACCTGCCGCGTAAACTGGTACCTGTTCTTGCGGCCGATTTCCCTCTTTTTCTCTCCTCTCCTCCTTTCTCTCTGTCCGTCTCTCTCTCTTCGTCGTCGTTCACGCTGTCCTTGTTCTGTCGCTGTCTCTTCCTCTTCGTGGCTAATTCATATTCGGAAGCTTCTAACAGCTTGTTTCGTCGTTGACGTCGTGGTCTTTTCTCCCACCCTCCGCTCGCTTTTTTTTCTTCAACTTTTATTCTATTTTATTTTTTTTTTCTCCTTGCTTTTCTTCTGCTCTCCAGCTCTTTTTTTCTTCTTCTCTTCTTCCGAGCTGCAGATAAACAAAAAAGTGCCGAGTGTCGACTGTCAGGTCTCCTTTGACATGAGCATGAGCATGAGCATGAGCATGAGCATCAGTCAATTGAAGTAATCTTCCCCTCTCCCCCCCGCGCTCAGCAAACCGGCTGTCGATTTCGACTCTCCGTACAAACCACCGAGACCGAGAGAGCGACAGCGAGAGGGAGAAGTGTGCGTGAAAGAGGAATAAGATAGCTATGGGCTCCGTCAGCATTGACGGCCTGGGGCTGGCCGCTCATCAAATGCAGCCTATCAGACGCACATTGGACACCCTCCATAACTTCTCTCCCGTCATCTTATTCGTCGTCTTTGCTGTGGCATTCGTCACAAACACCATCATTGCAAACCGGAGGATCGAGCCCAAAGCGCAGCATACAAAGGGTGCCAGGACCGGGCCCGGTGGCAGGCCGCTGCCCACGCGCATGAGGAGCGCTGCCGTGCTGATTGCCCGCAAAACCCCCGACTTCTCGCCTGCCACGAAGCTAGCTTTCAAATGGCTGGCCGTGGGCGTCCTGTTCAGCTTCATTGCCGAGGCCGCCATCCATGTTGCTCACATTGTGCTCCATCGAAAGGACCACTGGTGGTGTGGTCAAGCAGTTGTAGTGAGTACAAGCTTTTTCTTCTTCTTCTTTGTAGTTGATGTTGTTGATGCTGTTGACGAAATGACGTCTGTTCAAAAGCTGCATGCTTAGTCGTGCATCTCCCATGCTGTGGCCGCTAGGGGGGGGGAGGAAAGAGGAAACACTTCTGCTTCTAAACTAACTGCTTGCAGATTCATGTGGTCGGCACTTTCTTTGTCCACACTCTGGTGCTGATATCTCTGATTGATACTACTCCCTCACCAACAGTGGCCCAGCTCATCACCTGGATAGTCTCTATGCTGCTGGAGCTGGTCATCCTGGCCCTGTTCCTTGATATCAACACATCGCCGCACCACGAGCCCGTCGTTGGCGACCCGCTCGGGGGCCCGCTCAGAAAGGGGCTGACTACCTGGGAAGCCGGTCTCGTTGTCACAGCGAGTGCCCGGATCTTGTTGCTCGTCTCTCTGGTTGTTATCTACAGCCTGACTTCCTATGCCTTGAAAGCCGGAGCTCAGAACAGCGGGACTGCCACAGAGACTACCTCACTGCTACACTCTGGAAATGGCACTGCACACGCCAACGGTGACCGTTACGGTGCTTCTCATCGACACCTCAAACATGACGACGACGACCAGCCCGAGGAAGACGGATGGGTGCGGCCAAAGACACTGCCGTCTACCAGCTGGTGGGAGTACATGAGCGGCTACTCGCTCTTCTTCCCGTACCTTTGGCCGTCCAGGTCAACCAAGCTGAAGTCAATCGTTGTCTTCTGTTTCTTCCTTGTCATACTCCAAAGAGGCGTTAACCTCGGAGTTCCCATGCTCGTTCGTAACATCGTCAATATCCTTGCCCAGGAACATGGAAACGAGTTCTACGTTCCATGGGGTACCATTTGTCTATACGTCATCTTCCGCTCACTACAGGGCTCCCAGGGCCTTATCGGGTCCCTACGCTCCTTCCTGTGGATTCCTGTTGGCCAGTACTCCTACATGGAACTCTCAACCGCCGCCTTTGAACATGTCCACAGTCTCAGCCTCGACTTCCACCTCGGCAAGAAAACTGGCGAGGTCCTGTCTGCCCTGGGTAAAGGTAGCTCGATTAACGGCTTCCTTGAGCAGGTTACATTCCAGGTTGTGCCGATGTTGGTTGACATGTGCATTGCCGTGGGCTACTTCTTTGTCGAGTTCGATGTCTACTACGCATTGGTGGTAGGCATCATTACCTTCTTGTACCTCTATCTCACCATCCGCATGGCCCAGTGGAGAGGTGAAGTCCGACGCATGATGACTAATGCTGATCGCCAGCAGGACGCCGTCAAGTAAGTCCATCTCCCTGTTAACTCTCCTTATCCACCGTTACTTGTACTAATCGGTGTAGAAATGATTCAATGGTTTCCTATGAAACAGTCAAGTACTTTAATGCTGAACCGTACGAGTTCAACCGATACCGTGGTGCCGTTTCGGACTACCAGGCCGCTGAATACCATGTCCTGTTTTCTCTTCAGTTGATGAATACTTGCCAGAACACCGTTTTCATGCTGGGTCTTCTCATCACTTGTTTCATTTGCGCTTTCCAGATTGCAAATGGCCAGAGAGATGTTGGTCAGTTCGTTGGCTTGCTCACATACATGTCCCAACTTCAGGGGCCTCTAAACTTCTTTGGAACCTTCTATCGCTCGATCCAAGGAGCCATGATCAACTCTGAACGACTTCTAGAGCTGTTCAGGGCAAAACCTACGGTTGTTGATGCACCTGATGTTGATGAACTCCGCTCCTGCAATGGCGGAATCGAGTTTGACAAGGTACACTTTGCATATGATAGCCGCAAGCCGGCCCTGAATGGACTCTCCTTCGAATGCAAGCCTGGTACCACCACTGCTCTTGTAGGAGAGTCAGGCGGTGGAAAATCCACTGTTTTCCGTCTTTTGTTTCGGTTCTACAACTCTACTTCTGGTCAGATCCGCGTGGACGGCCACCCTGTCGAGAGTGTGTCTATCGACTCGCTCCGCCGACACATCGGTGTTGTTCCACAAGATACCGTCTTGTTCAATGAAACCATTATGTACAATCTCAAGTACGCTAACCCTGGGGCAACCGACGAGGACATCTACGATGCATGTCGTGCAGCCAGTATCCATGACCGCATCCTCACCTTCCCGGATGGTTATCAAACCAAAGTTGGAGAACGTGGTCTCAGACTGAGTGGCGGAGAAAAACAGCGAGTCGCAATCGCTAGAACGATTATAAAGAACCCGCGTATCATTCTTCTGGATGAGGCTACCGCTGCCCTCGATACCGACACCGAAGAACATATACAAGGCGCCCTGGCTACCCTGTCCAAGGGCAGAACCATGCTTGTCATTGCCCACCGTCTCAGCACGATCACTACAGCGGATCAGATCCTTGTCCTCCAAAACGGACAGGTTGCCGAGAAAGGTACTCATGAACAGTTGTTGGCTATGAAGGGCCGTTATTCGAGCATGTGGCGTAAACAGATCAAGGCTCAGCGAGCTGCCGCCGAGGCACAGGTCCTGCAGGACCGCGCGGAACGACTGAGAAGCAGTTCCGTGGTGGCTGGTGGTGGTGAGGATAGCTCCAGCCAGTCAGACGAAGATAGGCATGCGGAGACTACCGCTCGTCCACGCCCAACCCTGTCACAGCGCTCTACCAAAGCTTCCGAGGCTAAACCTGCCGGACCTTGAGAACGGCGACACCAAACCTGAAACTCCTATTCTCGCTTGTATTTCCTATTACCTTTATATCTTACTCGACAGTTGTGACGACGTATACGGCCTCGCACTAACCTAAGCATCCATTACGGCTACAGGCAAAGGGGACTGGAGGCATTGAGAATTGATATCATTTCCTGGCGTTAGCAGTTTATAAGACATGGGTTTCCAATGGCGCAAAGCGGTTTATTTGCAAGCATCCTTATTTTACTCCTCATACGTTCCGTTTCTCTTCCCTTTTATTTCCTAGTTCTCGATTTCCTGCCACGCACGCTCTTATACATCCCTTCTCCACTATGTCTTTTATAACTATTTGCCATTCAATTCCCCCATTCCCTATCAACAACAGCGCCTTCTATGTTCCTACTTCTCCTTCGGGCGGCCTAATTGCGTTATTAATGGTAATGTCTCTTTTATTATTCTATCTATCATTTCCTTTCGTCTTTTTCCCTTCTCTTCACTCTTTCTCTTCTCTCTTCGAGGACTGACTGGATGTTTCTTCGTCCCCCTTTTTCCGGGCTGGTAAAACCAAAAATAAAAGGCGAGGCAGGATAGGAAAATTTAGAAATAACGGCGAGCGTCTTCTCAGTGGTCGCCGAGGGGCTGGTTACGGGCTATTTTATATAGAATGGTTAAAAAAAGCATTGTTATTGAGATAACCAATTTACAAAATGCGTTGTGGAACTGATAGAAAATACAAAGTTCGTTTGCAGAACCAAGTTTTAAACGTGTGAAAGAATGCCAAGACTTTTAATTCATTGCTTGATAAATAAAAATAAAAATAAAAAATTTAAAAAATTAAAAGCCAAAAAGCGACCTCAAATCTACAACATCTCGACTCCCGTCTTTATTTAGCAACTCCAGGTCACCCATCATCATGCATTCACCATCAACATTACTCCTCCGCTCCCTCCGAAGCGTTATTTCAAAGAGCATTTCTCCCTCATCTCAGCTGTCGTACGCCTCCCTCCAACCGAGAATATCTCGATGTCTTCTCAAACCCACACCCGCCAGCCTCCGCACTTACACCAGTGACAAAAGCAATCCTAACCCCAACATCCGCGCCCAACCCCGTCCACGCGGTACAACACTATCATCAGCAGACCCGAAGCCCAAATCAAACTACCGCGGTCCACCACCTGAAGGAACAGATGCACAGCACATGACGGATCTTAACTCACTGAACATCCTATCAGGTGCAGCTGTACCTGCAACGGCCATTGACGCATGCCATCATGATGGATTTCAATTGAATAATGGCGTGCGAATTGCGGATGGGAATGGGTGTTTACTGATTGATGGGGAGGTGTTTGTTTGGAAACCGTGGGAGGCTGCGCCTGGCAAGGAGAGGAGCTTTGTTAATGAGAAGGGACAGTGGGAGGTGCCGGAGGCTGCTTGGGGTGCTCTACGTCTTTTATGGCCTAAACCCGGTATGTGTTGGTTGAATACCGGACATATATACATCTCCTTTGGAAATGTCCACCGTCCGAGCCATTAGTATATGGTGTGCTTACTTTACGTTAGATCTGCTGATTCTGGGGCTGGGTCCCACGATGCGCCCCATCTCGCCCGAGACTAGGAGGCATATCAATAAATTGGGCATAAGGGTTGAGGTTCAGGACACTAGGAATGCAGCTGCGCAGTTCAATCTGCTGGCAACAGAGAGAGGCGTTCAAGAAGTTGCAGCCGCCTTGCTACCTATTGGGTAGAGCGGTCAGTTGTTACCCTCAACAGCCATATTTTTTTCTACTAAGTAGCCTTGTATTATACAGCTATGTACTATAGATATTAAGCATGAATAACGTGTCCTGTAAATAATCGTCTCCAAACCCCTGATTACGCAAGTTAGTTTGAGCCTTTGCGGGTCATGTGCGGCAGTTCCCTTTCACGTGACCCTATCGCGACAGGACTTCGATTCCCCAGCTTTTGGCATCTCGGAGGCTGCAACAGGGTGTACGAAGTACCGAGTACAGGACAACCACGCCGTCCTTCCTACCACCGTATCTTATGTGGGAGCCTCGGTGAGCCTTTCGTTCCTCACGCACATATATACTCAGGCCCGCGTTGGCATATACAACGATGGCGTCCAACGACCCTCGCCCATCGAACGACACGGACCGAAACGATGAAGAGTCTACCCTTCTGACCGGGCAGCGGGTCAGCCGTACTATCAACGATGACTCCCGTAGTAGCCCTAACTTCTGGCGTCAAGTTGGGCTCTTTACTTGGGCTCTTGTTGCTACTGCTGCCGTTATCGTCCTTGCAATCGTCTACCAGCATGACCATTCTCTGCCCAAAGACCCCCATAGAGCTAGGCACACTGGGAAACGGAACATGATATTCATGGTATCCGATGGCATGGGACCCACGAGCTTGTCTGTGACTCGCTCTTTCAGGCAGCATGTTGACAAGCTTCCTATCGATGATGTCCTGACCCTAGACAAACACCATATCGGATCATCCAGAACGAGGTCTTCCAGCAGCCTGGTGACAGATTCGGCCGCCGGAGCCACCGCCTTTGCATGTGGAAAGAAGAGCTATAACGGTGCCATTTCGGTTCTTCCTGACCACTCACCCTGTGGAACCGTCTTGGAAGCTGCTAAGGCTGCAGGTTACATGACGGGTTTGGTCGTCACTACACGTATCACCGATGCCACTCCTGCCTGCTTCTCTTCTCATGTGAACATTCGTGGCTATGAAGATTTGATTGCTGAGCATCAGCTTGGTGAATACCCTCTTGGTGTACAAGTTGACCTTATGATGGGTGGAGGTAGATGCCACTTCTTGCCCAACTCTACCTCCGGGTCTTGTCGTGCCGATGACAAGGATTTGGTCAAGCTTGCGCAGTCCAAGGGGTTCCATTACTTTGATGACCGTAAAGGATTCGATGCTTTGAAGAAAGGCGAAGCTGCCAAACTGCCGTTGCTAGGTCTCCTGGCCCCAACTGATATTCCTTATGAAATTGATCGACGATACCGAGAAAAGGAGTTCCCATCCTTGGAGGAGATGACCAAAACTGCCCTCAAGGCACTTAGTGATGCCACCAAGGATAGCGAGCATGGTTTCTTCATAATGATTGAGGGCTCGAGAATTGATCATGCTGGCCATGGTAACGACCCAGCTGCTCAGGTCCATGAGGTTTTGGCATACGACAAGGCATTTGCAGCCGTTCTAGAGTTCCTTGAAAACGACTCTACCCCCGGTGTTCTTGTCAGTACATCCGACCACGAAACCGGCGGGCTGGCCGCTGCAAGACAGCTCCATGAATCATACCCAGAGTACCTTTGGCTTCCCGATGCTCTTGCCAATGCTACTCATTCTTCCGAGTATCTCGAGCCCAAGCTGAACGCCTACCTCGAAGGAAAAGGTCATAGTCAATCCCGAGAGGAAAAACGCAAATACATTCGCGAGGAATTCATCCAGCCTGCCCTAGGAATCGTTGATATTACCGACGAGGAAATTGATCGTCTTATCGATAACACCGGCAGACCTGCTGCATATCTCTTTGCCGACCTTGTAAGTCGCAGAGCCCAGATAGGTTGGAGCACCCATGGTCACTCTGCCGCTGATGTTAGCATTTTTGCTTCATCTCCGCACGACGCTCTCCCACTGGTTGGTAACCACGAAAACACTGAAGTGGGCGGATTCATCGCTACCTACCTTGACCTTGACCTAGATGCTATCACCAAAAAGTTGAAGGGTGTTAAGACTAAGCCCTCAACTAGCAGTGAAGAATCTGCACCCGACTACTCTTGGATGGGTAAACCGCTTGACAAGAATGTGATTGTCGATCAGCTTGATACCTATCACGGAGACTTCAAGCGTCGTCTAAGAAAGAGAGGCCCTGATGAGGAGCCTGTCCATCAAAGACGATCAGATTGTGGTTGTGGCAATCATTGATAGACTTTCTGCTATTCTACATCTGTTTCTGTTTTCTTCTATAAGCTTACTTATGTGCCGTCTTACATTTCTGAGTTCCTAAGATTTCGTGCTTCACATCGGGGGCGGTTTAATGATCGTTTGTAGACTACTTTTCGTGCTTCTTATGTTCGATTCCCAAGACCATTACTAGACACAGTCTATATACCTGAGAGTAATACGAGCGATATTCTCACGAGATTCCATCTTTGATAATAGACTCGTAGCCTCGGTGGGTGGACTAAAGGATCCGTTTGAGCCTCCCCCCAAAGGGTCGCCCTTGGCCAATTACCTGATAAAACAATTTATTAGAATTTTCAACGGCCCGTTTCTCGAAGAACATGCAGCCATCCTCCCAGGTCAAATACAAACTTTCTCTAAGCTTTATTCAATAAACCAGCCACACGAAGGACCACGAGCCAGAAGTCGAAAAAAGAACAGAGACACAGTTCCTCCCAAGGGATAAATACCAAAGGACCTCCATCCATATGTGCCTGTGCCACCCATCCACTTCACAATATAATACTGTCGTTCCTAAACCACCTCTCGAGCCTTATACGACAGTCAATGCAGGTATGGTTTCTGAAATTGTAGCCAACAATACTATGGTCTGTTGGAGCACAGTGGAGGAGATCGTCAAATGGGATATCATAGCAGGCTCGTTCCTGCGGGTCATTAATTCGAACAAGTTGCTGGAAAACGCGAGTACAGAATGTGTGGAGGAAAACCCCTTGGCACTGGCAGAGGTATCTAATCATATAATATCGACACATTGTACTCGCTAGTACCCCTATGTGGACTCGTTAGTTTGGATAAAAGCCTTTGGGTTAAAGGGATAAGGCCATACTGTAGATGTATATGGTATTGTTTATAAGGAGAGCTATGAAGCCCCCAGGGGCACTGTTACTCTGAATTGGTGTGCTTTTCGTCCAGTCCCAGCTCGTTGTAGCTCCTTTATTACTAACATAAATATAAATATTAGTATTTCCTTACATATCCCTAGATAGAGGGCATATGTAACTTACTAGGACTCAAGAACTGCAGCTAAACTGTTCTTGTTTTGAAGTTGACGTGTGAGCAGATCAGTAAGTAGTAAGTATGTGAGGGATAGGCAGGGTGGAGCTAAGAAACAAGCAGATATCAAATGATACTGTTTACTCGCCAATACAACACATGTTTTGGCTTGACTGAAAACTAATGATAAGCAAGGGCCGGAACAAGGGCCACAAGGATAAAAGTGCCCTATCATTCATCATAACAGCTAGCCAGTAATTCTAACGTGGGCTAAAAAGCTGTTTGCTTGAGTAGTTAGCTAAGAGGGTCCTTGATTGATATATGCCAAATCCATAGAGGAAAGGGTAAAATGGCAGTGAAGTTAGGTGCGGAATTGCGCTCAGCCTCTATCTAGGGAGGAAAATGATAGAGTGGAAATCATAAAGAGAGATAGATTGCTTCTTATGCTAAGATGATGGGTATTCCAAAGCTAGCTGGGTATGTAGCAAGGTAGCAAGCCAGTGGGAAGTGCTTGGTTCCTTAGATATGAGGGGGGGGATAGAGAATGACTAATGACTAATGGATAACAACCGTAAGGCAGCAAATCTAGCATCACATTTCTAGGCAAGATTGTCTAGAATGGATAGCCTAAGCAATCTAGTTTATCCTGATGCTTTTTTTGCATAGTAAGTAGAATGGATCCAAGTAGGCAGACAGCTGGGCTGGGCTGTCAAAATCAACCCAAGCTCAGGCACCTTCCCTGCAAAGCATTTTCCTAGCATGTTCAGAGCAAAGAACGCCAGGCCCAAAGTATTGACCGGGCCAACATAAAAAAGGCAGCCACGTTCAGTATTCCGAGACCTTTATATGGCTGTCTCTTGTTTGTTATAGGGGGTTACTCGGTAACATGCAGCGAATAGGAAAGCCCTGCCAGCCTTAAGGGATGCATATATCTAGCACGTACATGCGAGTGTTTCAAGGAGTTCGGTAAGGAAAGCTTACAGCAAGCCATAGCCAGTTGCAAAAATAAGATCTCCTGCGCCAGAATATGCATACGGAACGATGATATTGGAAAGGATGTTTGGAGTTGATGCATGATAGACGTTGGGCGAAAATAAATAAGGTTTATAGTTTAAAAATAAGCAAAAATACATTAACTAGTTTAAGGAGGCTAAAAATGGACCAGATAATACATCAATCAACCAGGAAGGGGACGAGACAGGGAGACAGGGGTTGCTCTACTTGAGATGATCAGCGAGAGCAGGCGGAGGGGATCGGAAAAATAAAGGCGAACATGACCAAATGCGCTGAGAGGCTTTGTATAATGGGGAATAGAGGGTAAGATCGCAATAGAAGTAGAATAAAAAAAAAAAAAGGGGGGGGGGGGGGGGACATAAAAGCATTAACAAAAAGAGGAGGGTAAGAGGGTAAAAGGGGGGTGGCTCAAAATATATATACAGCTGAGACTGTTATTACAAAGTTACTAGTGCCATTATGGCAACGAAGACAGCAAATAGTGAGCCTTGGAGGACTTGGTCTCCTGGAGCAGAGGCGCCGCTCGAGTTGCCGTCGCCGCCGACAGGACCCTGGGTGAAGCCGGACTGTTGGGGAGCAGAAGGGTTGGAACCACCGTTACCGCCGCTGCCACCGTTGTTACCTTTCTCACCGTCACCTGGTCGCTTGCCATCGAGGCCGGGACCAGCACCACTAAGACCGGGAATGACGGCAACTTCGGTGGGCTTGGGTGGGTTGGAACCTCCCTTTGTAGGGCTTGGGTAGTCCTTGTCCTTGTCTTTGCCATTGCCGAGGAAGGACTTAAGAACGGTGCTGTCGTCAGTGATCTTGACGGAGCCTTCAGTACCGCTGTCATCGGTGTAGACGTAGGCCTTGCTACCTTCGACCTTGGCGCTCTTTGGAGGGTCGTAGCACTCGATGGAGACAGAGTCAAAAAGTGCGTAGTAGTAACCGTTCTTCTGAATGTCTTCGGACTTCCAGTCGACGAGGCCTCCGGCCCAAGCGATGGTACCCTCTCCGTTTGTGGACAGACCGGCCGGCCAGAGGGAGAGTTGGACACGAGCGGGTGTGGAAGGGTAGTTGTACTGGTGGGTGGTTTCATTCATCGTGCTATCACGATCGAGAGTACGGATGACCTTGCCGTCAATGCTCCAGGTAATTGTTTCCGGCTTCCAGTCGATCTCATAGGTATGATACTCATCGAAAGTAT